AAACGGTCCTTCTGTTCTGTTCGGCGATCGCAGGGACACGCTTTCAACGTATGAGGCGATAAGGGGGATAAGCAGTATGTCTCGGACTCTGCCGAGCGATAGAGAGAAAGAGAGGGTGAGAGGGGGGAGGGGGGGGGGTAAGTCATAAACAGCCCCGGAGGCCGACGGAAAGAGGGAGGAAACGGCTCGAGAACAAGATAAAGAGAGGGGAGAAAAAGGGTGGAACAGACGAAGGGAAGGAGGGAGGGAAACTAGAGGAAAGGAGATAAAAGTGTAGAAAGGGAGAGTGAGGAGGACGGATGGGGGGGGCGGTGGTGGTGGTGCGGGCGTAGCGAAAATAAATTAGATGAATCAGAGAAGTATCGACTGAAAGGTTTGAGAGAATCGGGGGGGCGGGGGGGGGCTGTAAAGCGGATGTTGAGAGCAATATCAAAGTGGAGGTGACAGACCACGAACATAAATACGGTGTGACAAAGCGAGGCAAGATGGCCGCCGCTGTCTAGGCAGGAACCCGCACTTCTCACACCTCTGGCGTCGCGTTTCATTAATTTAAAAAAGCAAATTCAGACGGTGACAAGCAAGGCCTTTGAAGGGAAGCGGCGCCGCATAAAAGGGCGTCGCTCCTCACTCTCGGTCAGTTTTGATCGTTTATATATAGCCGTGCGTGTGTGTGTATATATATACTTACATTTGAATTATTTTGGAATACATTTGAATTCTTCATATCTCTCAGTCTTCTCTTTTCTTTGTGTCTCGCGGGACCCTTCGCCAGCCGCTCCTGACGCTAAGCCTTGTTGTTGTCTTTTCAAATACCTCTTGTCGCGCAGCTGACAAATGGCTAAGATAAGATGACAATTCCCGTTGTGCTTTTATAAATAAACTCCCACCTATCAGACGGGCAGACGCAGCAGGGTTTTTAACGGTTTGGGCGAGCCTGTTGTTACGGGGTACATCAAATATATCATTTTTTTGTTGTCATTTTTACTTTATTTGACTCTAGAAAGTCAAACCCTGTCTTCAGCAATACGTGACATTCATCCTATGTTGTCCCTGTCGCCCCATCATGGCCACCTTACCCTCTGAGCTGCCCTCCGATAACGTTTCATGTCACGGAGCGTTAACATATCAGCGTGCCCTTTTCGTAGATACATGCTCGAATACGGACCGCACACACACGCCCACGCCGCGGTCACGCCGGCCAGCCGCGCTCCTCCCGCAGAGCACCTCTCCCCACCTACGTGTCTCCATGGAAAAGGTCACGGCGGCCGCATGACCTGCTATTTGAAGAGGAACCCGGTGGATACCCGGAGCAGGCAAAGCAAAACCCAATTACACCCGAGGGAGATTCGGCGCATTTGCTGAACTCCGCTTGAGTGATATTCTGTTTCTCTTTGGGCCGCTTGTAAAGATCCACTTACACGTTTATGGTCGGCCAGAACTAGAATCAACAGAGTTCAAACCGCCGCTGTGTTTGACGGTTACTTCCAGGAGAGACACTCTGTGTCCACTCATTTGTCACACAAATCAGGTGTGGTTTGTCAGTGGACCTCCAGGGCTGAGGAGGCCGGGCAGATCTTAAATAAACACCAGTTAGCTCGGGGGCAATGGATAGAGAAGAAGCCAGAGGTCAAGCTTAGGCGGGTGACTGGGTTAGCTCTGATACATTCCATGCACCCGCGGCCTGTGCTTCACCTCGTACTTCTATTCATTAACACAAAACAGGCCTAACAATAATCAGAAGTAAAGAAATGATGGTTTGCAGTGCCGACCAAACTGTAAAGAGCAAAGCTTTTGGGCAATTTTCTTGATAATGAACTTAAAATGATGAACTAATAATTAAAATGGGGCCTGGAACAAATAAGTTAATTTGACTAATTATACATAATTGATCTATGTGCGGGAGTCCATAAGCAAAAGATGTTTGTTAAATATTACATATTTCTGCTTAAAAGAGTATTGATCAATAGATTCATTATCTACATTGCTCAATCTGCTGATCATTTTTGATACGACTTGATATGATTAACCTTTCGTGAACTGGGTTTATTCCCCCGCTGCATGTGCTCCTTCCTGCGTCTGGAATTGTTCCCCCCATTTACCACACTCAATATCAAACAAACATTCCCCAAAACAAACAAAAGCATCCTACGAAAAACAAACCGCAATTGCTCTGTTAAACCATCCCACTGTTCAAGTCTACACCGAAGAGGCCCTGCGGGGGTCTCTTGTCCATACAAGGCCTGGAAAACATCAGCTGCTGCGGAACGTATCTCTCGATGTCCGTGAGAGACGGCGTATCACCTCGGCCGCTCGGGCGGCCGCTGAGTGCGGCGGTACGTGACAGCGTCCCGCAACGCCTGATAATAAGAGCTCCGTCTAAAGCCACGGGCCGAGAGATTAGATGCCGCCGGGGCTGGAAACCTGCATACCTCGTCTGCAGCGGGCCCATGTTTGGTGAGCGCTGGTCTCTCGCCCAGATAAACACTAAGCATCGACGACGGCGTCTTTTTTACTTGGTGCGAATCAGTGATCTATCGAGTGGGTGAGGAGGGAGGAGGGGGGACGCCAGCGGCGTTCAGCGTGTGAGAGTCACACCGGCCCGGGGGCCGTTAAACTTTGGCTCTCGCGGGGTCAGAGGTCGTGGTTCCTCTAGTGTCGCTGCGCACCGAGTCGCTCGGCATTCTGAATTCGGTTGAAAATGTCAAATTAGAAACTGATCACCCATGAAGCAGGTCTATTGTTCGTGTGCTCAGCTCCGCTTCTGTGACCAGAATGACTAAACTCCGATGTTCATGAATCACAAGGGAAAGATGCAAGTCACACTCGCAGATTATTCACATTATTCTTAGTGGGAGTGCTTTTTTTCTCTAAATATGCACACCACGTGCATGTGTGTGCATGTGTCTGTGCATGTGTGTGTGTGTCTGTGTGTGTGTGCGTCACAGCCCTCTCGCCACGTCTGCTCGTTTGTGACCGTTTGTGTGTGTGCGTGATACAGTACCCCCCCCCCCCCCCACCACTCCCCCGAACCTTCTCTGCATGCAGCGCACAACGCTACACAGAAGATAAAGTGGTGCCGTCTGACCTTACGTTAATTCGACCGGGTACATTTAAGTCCCCAGCCTGTCTGGACGGCTTCCAAACATTTCCCCCTCCATTAAGACTCCTCGGGCCTTCGCTCTCGCTGCCTCGCTGTCTGCCTTTCACTCAATTTGAGGGACGGCTGCCGTCCGGTGCTCCGGCACATCGTCATCACAGCGATTTTAGTCCGGAGACGTGTTTATCAGGGGAAAGTAGAGCTGGACCAACAAATGATTATTTCACCACTAATCTCATTTTTTTTCCCCGACTAACTGCTTGGTATATCTAAGGTCACAAAAAAGGAATCCAGTGAGAAACTGTTATCAATAGCGATCGACTATTCCATTAATGGATCTAAATCACAGCTGTCCAATGTCATTATGTGAAATGTTTTGTACGGTTTGGTTGGAACTATCTCCTATCAATAACACCAATGCTTAGTGCTAAACTGAAAATCTCTAAACCATTTAAGTCATTTATTCTGCAAAATGCAGCTCAAAGATTGAAAAATGTGACTATTTTCTGTTTTGCTCTGTTATACGACTTACACCTGAGCACCTGTGAACTTTCCACCCTCATATCATGTCAGCCTTTTATAGATTTAAATGTAAAGCTCCCTGACAATGTACACGAGTACTCCTTGATCTATGTTGACAATAACCATCAGTTATAGCCCTGCCTTGGAGTGCTGGCGCACACAGTATTTGGGCTGTGAAGTACCTCTGCTGCAGCACCGTACCGAGTACATAAGGTCACGAGGTGAACAAACTGAAAGTCTCCATCAGGTTTCCAAGAAGTCAGTCTCTAGTCGGTGCCTCATGGTGCTACGGCAACTCCCCGCATCCATGGTAACCTCATCAGTGGACCAAATATGGTATTAAGCAGGGCTGCGTATGTTTGGATATTCAGTTACAAAGTGACGAACAGCCCACTGAGCCTTAATCAAATTTCTCCAAGAGAAAAAATCGGATATAATCCGATATACCTTTCTTACGTCACTTGGCAAGGGGATGCAGGGTGGCTCTGAAATAACAACTCCGTCCACCGGATAGAGATACTTCTGTGCCAAAGAAAATCGCCACATGCACAAAGCAACACTACCATTTTATTCCCACAGATTTAAAGAGGCATCGTGAATCCAGATTGTGCAATGTTGAACTATACGGAAAAACACATTCCCACCGGGCACTGAGAGGATTACCTCACATGTTTATTTCCCCCCAAAATTTCTATTTGTCTGCCGTGTGAAGATGTCAGTGAGTCACATCGATAGAGAGGCTGTGCTCCTGCATCACTGTTAAAGGCGGTGGGTCCGGAGCTGCAAAGCCGTATTGCGTACATGTTGCAGCAGCAGTTGTCTGAACTTCGCTTGCTCCCACAGCTTCAGTGAAAAACTAATTCCCACCCTGGCACTGGAAACCCCCCCCCCCCCCCTCTCTCACTGGTGCTTTTCAAGGCTGGGCCAAGTCTACCTCTACCATCCCGCACTTTAGTCGGTTTTCAGGTAACATCGTGTGCGATGTAGTGCGTTAATCGGGAACTTGTTATTACTGATTAATCTATGATCAGGTCCCGCCGCGCTCCTGACTCGTACGGGACCGTGTGGGGCTGAACGAGGAAAGACGCACTGCTACGGAGAACACATGAAAGATGAATATTAAAATATATAAAAAGTAAAACAGGATAGGATACGCATGCTGTGCGATGACGTAAAACATCTAATGATATAACAGCAACTTTTTCCATTGTGTTTTTTTTTTTTTTTTTTTTTTTTTTTAAACGCTAAACATCTGGAGGAGACGTCGTTTGGGACGCTCGTGGTTCTCCTCTCGATCGCTGAGCAGGAGACGCCGTGTTTAAACGGTGGGACCCGGACGGGCGCCGCGGGGCGGCAGGTGGGCGCAGACCGGGGCACCTACCTCCTCTTCGTGGTTGGTGAATTCACTCTGCTCGATCTCCTTCTCGCTTTTGCTATTATTCATGCTGAGGCGGGCTCTCTTCTCGCTTTCACTTGGACTGTCTTGTCTTCTTCTCTTCGCCCCGCTTCGCGTCTCTTCTCCTTCTTCTTTTTCGTCTCCTTCCTCTTCTTCGGGACCCAAATGTATGAAGCTCCCTCCGAGAGACCGCAGTCCGTGCGCTGCCACCTTCCCACTGACCCGAGCTTCCACCGCGACTTCTGCGACGAGGAAGGATCTCTCCGTCTTGTGCGTTTGTTTGTTTGTTTGTCTGTTTGTCTGTCTGTCTGTTTGTCTGTTGTTGCAAAAGGCGGTGAAACAAGTCGGCCGCGGGTGCAGGTCAGATACTCCTCTGCGTCCCCGGGAAGTCTTCTCTTGTTGCTGCTCCCCAAACGAAACCACGCTGAGTGTTCAGCGGACTGCGCCTCAGGCAAACTCCCCCCTCCTCCTCCGCCCCCACCCCTTCCTATCTACGAGGGATGGGAGGGATGGAGGGATGGAGCGATGGGAGGGAGGGGTTTAGGGTGGGGTGAAGGGCTCGGGTGCACCGTCTTGATGCGATCACGAACGGTGTTGTGCGGAGCAGCATGTTGTTTTATTATGAATGGGTTGTTTACCTCCCGTCTTACTCCTTTCTGTGCATTGTCCAAAAAAAACAACTAACTAAGCCCGTGACAACAATGTAATGTTAATTATTGACATCTTACAGTGTTGGAAATTAAGCTTGCATAACTTTTTTTATTGCCCCCGGTTGCCATTACACCACAAGTTCCCAAGAAAGAAATGCAGATGCCAAGACTGCGGTCCGGCTGCAGCAGTGAGTTTGTGTTTTTGTGGGTTTGCCTTTATTGAATAATGCTGTTGCGTCTCTATGTTGTTGATATTTTATTCTGGCTAAGGTCCGACCCTAATCCTAACCCAGGGAGTACACATGACAGGCAGCTAGTAGCCTAACCTGGTCCAATAGGGTGAGAGGATTATTGTTCATATGGTAGAGAAACATGTGCATGAATATATTATGCCTTTCATAAGTACCATACACACATTTTGCCTTGATTATAAACAGGCTGCACGTGACTCATTATGTACTTTAAGAGTCATTTTTGAGTGTGTCGTTGAAATGCCTGAAATGCCCAGCATGCCTTTGTTTTGTAAAAGTAATCTGCACACATCAGTTTGACTCATATATGCTCTTAAAGAGTCGCTCATTGTTTTCCGTATCGTAACTTGTTGACTGTTAAACTTTAGCCTTCAGGCCGCATGACATCAGCTTAGCCCATAAATCTGGCACCACAAGATGTGTTGTTACCCTGCACTCTCAGGACTATTTCCTCTATTCTTCCCTAACTTATTCCCTTGAAATGTAGCCCTCAGCACAATGCATCATCTTTATAGACTTACAGAGCAGTAGATAATTATCCACCTGACCGTTCAACACGTTTTACGTGATACTTCAAGGCCTTTTGTTGTTGTTATTTTCACTATCACTCATACGTCTTATTTCGTTCTGGATGTACGCGGCAGGCCGTGCGTTCAGGACGTCCTGGAGACGACACCTGTGCATTTCCAAAGATTTCGCGTTCGACAAAACAGGTTGCATTAATCCATTGTGGCCCTCAACCAAGACTGTTTGATTTATGACCTGTGAGTGGGGTAACAGGCGGGGCCCGGGGCTTGGAAGTGATGCCTCAACAATAGTGGAGATGAGCAATCACTCAAAAGTTCACCTGCACACCTATTATTGTCTACAGTGCAGGGTGCAAAACAGCCTTAAAAGCAGCGATCGGGTGACAAGGCCGCCTTGATCGCTCCGCCGTTTCAAAACATTTATTTTGAGCAACTGCCTGGCTTTGTATTCCGCTACGAAAAAGTTCAAGGGCTGACAGTAGCTCGGTAGTGGGGACTTTGACTGTATGTCGCGCGACATTTATTCCACGGGACAGACTCGCATTTTTATGACAGCCGGTGCAGAAAAAAAACACAGTGAGTCCTTTTTTTTTTTTTTTTGCTGAACTTGCACCTCAACAAGCAACAAAGGAAGTGGGGAAAAACAGTCACCACAGATCGGTCGCAGGGATTTCTGCTCTTTCTTCCCCCCTCCTAGATCGTGTCCATATCAGTATGCACAATGGAGGGGGGACATGGCGCGCGCTTTTATGCTGATGAGAAGCAGTTCGGGATTGGGAAAGAGGGAGGAGGCTCTCGGAGTCTTCGAAGCAGATAAATTTGGAAACGTTCCCCTTGCTGCTCAACACCCCTGTATCAAAGCCTCCCGCCGGAGTCTGGGGAACAAGGAGGGGGAGGAGAGGTTGGAAGGAGGAGGAGGAGAGGATGGGAGTGTGCAGGGAGGGTGTGGAGATGTCCCAGCTGTGTTTGACAGGTCTCAGGGCTGAGCTGTGTGGTCTGATGCGCCGAGAGGGAGGGGGGCCTCCCCTCCCTCTCCCACAAAAACACACACAGACTAACATAGGGGCGGGGGGAGGCAGGGGGGGGGGGGGTGTCTGGTCACAATGTCCTGGGTAACATGTCAGCAAGCTTTGAAGCGGTCCAGGCTCACAGAAAAGGTGTCTTTGTGCCATCAAGAATCTGTTTTACGAAGATGGGGCGGGTGGGGGGGGTAGTTATTTTGATGTCAAAAAGTGTGTTCATTTCACAGACTAGAAAGGAATAATTAGGATTTTTTTTGGTAAATATCCTCTTTGATTTGTTAGTGTTAGATGAGAAGATATATATATATATACACGTATATATAACATATAACTCGGGGGCAACATATCTGTCTGCTAAATAAGAAGCTAGAGACAGTTGGCTTGTCAGAATATGCAAGCCTCACTCCAAGATTTAAAAAATGCACGATTAAGAAGAAAAATTGACACATTTTAAAACCGTATTGAAACAAAAGATGACCCGGGTTATTGGCACACCTTTTCCAACAGCTGTTTTTGGGAAGTCTTGTAGTAGTTAACACTTTTAGACTGATGCTGCTGGGAAGATTTTCATCAGTTCACCCCAAAGATCCTTGTCCCTATGAGACATTTTCCCTCTCATTAATGTCTTGTCCTGGAATATAATAAGAATGCAACATGTTTAAAGTTGAATTTCCAGAAAAAAACATCACGGAGTCTCGTTTGTTTCATCCGTACAAGAATACATTAATGCTCATGCAAGTTCTAGTAAGTGGATTTTGTTGTTGTTTAAAAGACAGGCTTGCTGTCTTTATGCTAAGCTCGCTAGCTGCAGGTTATGCCTCCATGTTTAGCAAAAATAGGTAGGAAAGTGGAGAATCAATCTTCTCCTCTAACCTTCAGCAAGAAAGCAAATCTCCCAAAATGTCAAACCGTTATTTTAAAAATACTTTTATTGCCCAGATGACAAACCTATATCACTATATCGCAAGGGCCTCTGCTGACACAAACGCAGGCTTGAAGCTTGAAACACAAATCAGATTATCCAATATGGTCTTCTGGATCACTGACTCACAGCTAAAAGGCCAGCTTGATATGAGCACCGATGCAAGAATCTATCATGACACAATGCCGATGTATCGACCAGCGGCGAATCCCCGAGGTGAGGCGCCCTGCCGCTCCTGCAATCCGCTCGGCCGCAGTCACGTGACTCAAAGACGTCTCGCCTCTTTCCCCCTTTCGCTGTTTCATTCGCATTCCTGGACTCGGCATCAAAGCGAAGTCCTCATCGCTGCTCCTCCCAGCTCCTCCCAACTTTCTCCAAAACAACCGAGAAGAGGAACAATGCCGCGATCCATCCGGCCCGCGCACCTGACAGCGGCTCTGGTTTTGGCAGAGCAACACACTTCACCCTGGTGTGGGGTAAGTGGCTCTCGTTGGGCCCCGAGCCAGGCCATTCCATTCCTTTGACTTACTGATACACAGCGTTCCTCCCTTGTGCTTTGAGGCCCTTGATCCTCCTCTAAGAACACCAATGAGCAATTTGTGGTCAGATTGACCCTCTCTAATTGGCCATGAGAGGCTTTGTGCTTTGTTGTAGCTTAATCTTTTTCCATAGCTTCCTCGCAGCGCTCCGTTCACCTAACCTCTGTGTAACGTAAAGATCACGTTGAATTAATGTAACAGTACTTTTTGGGGCTTGTTTTATGATTGTCTGACTTGTTATTTAATTTTGTCTTCACAGACGCGACAGATCGTCAGCATCACGATCATCTTGTTCTGTCATCCAATATTGTTTGAAGGAAAAACAAAAATGGCAGCCTTGATGCAGAACCAGAGTTTAGGGGATCAACAATGTCAGTAGGCTTCGTCTTCTGGGGACACTTTTTTTTCCTGTAGTTGAAAGTGTGAACCAAGTTGGTGGGCAGACCAAAGCTTTTCATCCCTCAATCAACTAAAGCAAACCACAAGCTTTTATTTAACTATTCAACTTTCCCTCAAAAAGTCTTGGGTTCATACTTCATGAAGTTATTATTATTGAGACACGTGTCTGGAATAGTTTTTAGTTTGAGTAAAATAATCGTTGTCTTGACAATAGTCTTTGTCAAAGTAGACACGATAAATAGGGCCGGGTCTTTTTCCTTAAACTGTACAATAAACTTTCACGGCTCAGTGGGCAGAGAAGGGGCTGAGTGGAGAGCAGAGACCACGCTAAGTCTGTCTCCCAGGCTCAAATTCCCAAATGTTGACACAGGTCTACGTAATGGGCTATAATGTTCCCTTTGAATGCTGTTGAGTGGTTCTAAAATGCCTTCGAGCAGGGCTACGGGAAGTACATCGAGTTATATTGTCTCTTTTGTTGTGCAATGAAACCAATAAAAAGGTTAAACCAAACTCCTGAGGTCTTTGACTTTCCCCCCACCTTTAATCTTTATTGAACGGCATGTGTCTGTAAAATAAAAGTTAATCTTTATTTTTGTAGTTTCGGTCGAGCTGCTGAACTTTTGTGCATTGGCGACTTACAGTCAATTCAAATTTTCTGGCGTCATGTTATTTTGATTCCTAGATTTTTTCATAGCATCTGAATATCAAAACCAGAAATCTGAAACTCGTGGTGGATTGGGGGGGTAAAAAAAAACAGGAGACCACCCAAGTCATTACTCAAGGAGATACAGATATCTATATCAATTTTCATGGCGAGTCGACCAACAGTTGCTGAAATATTTCAGTCTGGACCAAAGTGACCAACATGGCTACCGAGGCTTAAAAGGCATGACATCCAGTGGTCCGGGGTCCCTGTTGTGATGAGATTAATTATTTCTGTGGGATTGCAATGGAAATCACTGCGGTCTATAGGTCACATTTCACGTTTTAAAGGTGGAGTGGACCTGGAAGCAAAGGTCAGTTGTCAGAAAGCCTTTATCCTCACAAACCAAGCGGTGGCCTGTTTAACCGTGACTGACGGCAGAGGACTACACCCCGACTGCAACTGCGTGGGCTGCCCGAAATCCAGGTCATAACAGCCTAACAAGCAGTATTGTAAGAGAAGATCCCCCCCTCCCCGTATTATAGATATATACAGTACCAGTCAAAGGTTTTGGCGCACCTTCTCATTCAGTTGAGTGAGAAGGTGACATGTTTCTACATGGTGGAGAAATGTTTACTTGCGTTTCGCTCACATTATTGCAGCAACTTCCCGCGTGTCCGTGTGCTGTGCCTCTACCTGAAATCTCACGCTTCCCTCTTAGTTCACAATAGGATACTATTGACTCTTCAGAGATTGCTGCACATTGTTGCAAAGGCCAAATATTGAGTTTGAGATAAACCCATGAAAGGAAAAGCAAATACCACCGCAATGTACGAAAGTGCCCGAGTGGGAGCTGGATAATTCCGTTTCACCGCAGTACAGTAAGGGAGAGGTATTAATAACCGCGTCCAAAAATAGAACAACATATGAACTTCCTCTCAAATTCCTGCCATGAGTCGCTCTCATCACAGCCACTTCGCCTCTTTAAAGACACGCGGCCGATTAAAAGGCCACACTTGCCACCCAGGAGGCCCTCGTCCCTCCGCACTCCCGCGCAACTGCGCCCGCGATCTGTCTTCCTGTCATGTCGACGTAAGCTGACTCTTTGACAACACCCCAACATAAAAATAAAACAATAGTAGCGGGGGGAGGGGGGACATAAAACAAAACCCAGAAGGAGGGAGAACACCATGGAGCCTAGACGTGGCCCCGCTTGAAATAATTAGCCCCTGGTTGATGCGGACTCCTCGTGGGACTCCAGCGTGACATGTACTGGCAGCGGCCGCCACACCAGCTGCGTGCCTCCTACAGGGAGCTGCTGCACCGAGCTCCACACAAAGCACCTGAACGTCAGAAGGCCCAGCGAGCTGGACGGTGCGCTTTGTTTAGCGTCTTCCAAGAGTTTGGGGGCCAATGCTGAAGTAGGACAGCGCGACTTGCTCATTGCCGGGGGGTCTCGGGGGGCAGCGACGAGCTACTGGCTGTACATCACACGCGCACATCCATCCGCACCCAAAGCCGAGAGCTGTGGCCGGTCATGGTAGGTCATCCCAGTCTAGGGGGCTTTATGGGGGGAGAGGGGGGGGGGGGGGGGGTGCAACATGTCTGATTCAGCACCCCACTGCACCCAAGCTCAATTAGGATAATAAACCAGTCTCCGAGAAAGATTACCATGACCGGCAACTGCCAAATCCAAGATGGTGACTACCACACCCAAGGTCATCCTTTGAGGCATCATTTCTGCAGATTGCAGTTTTTAAGTGCAGAATCATCTTACAGCAACTAATGCATGTTATTTTTAATGCCTAATTGAAACCTATAAAATGCAATTTATTACAGTTTTCAGCACAGAGTACTTAACAAATGAGGATTCTTTTTTGTTTCATTACTTATAATATTTTGTATGGCTGCTGAAACAAAGCCTTCAGAGCAGGAACCACAGAGGGGGAACAAACAGTTGCTCAATAGTCCCTCCTTGTGGTAAATAAAACCAACACTCAGGAGAAATGCAAGCTGAAATGCAATCTTCAGTCATTTCTATTGCAATATTTTAATGGGAACGATTATACATACATACGAGTAGAATTATTCAACATAAAAATGGCACAGGAGATTTACAATTCTTAACAGTGAAAACAGTGTGCAAGAGCAAATGTTGGCATTCCTCATATGCAGGAAGAAATGTACAAAGGCAGAAGCATTCCACTAGGCGTTAAAGAAGAACCCTAAAGTGTAACAAGACACGTGCAAGTTGAGGGAATTGAGTCGGCGCGTGGCGTCAGGTGCCAGATCGGGTCGGAGGAAGTAGGCTACGATCCCTCCGGGGTCCAGCTTCCTCTCAGTTCCTCACAGGTGTGCCGCTTCCTTTGACCGTCTTCTTCAGGTGATGATAGTTGGGCAGAATCTTCATGAGGAAGTCCAGCTGCAGAGTCTGAGACTGCAGGATGAAAACAGGAGAAAGGACACTGGCCGGTTAATAGGCGTTCCGCACGTGGGCCGAGTTGGCCTTCAGGCGGGTGCGGACGCTGACCTGAGGCTTTTCGCTCTGCACGCGGCGGATGCAGTTTGAGCCGTACACCACCGTGTTCTCCGGCACCACCTCACACGCGTTGACCTGGCAGCACGCACCCACGATACAGCCACTGGTCAGGATCACGTTTCTCCCGAGGTCCGCTGGGATTTAACGTGAGCAGAGGCATTAATATCTCCGGGTTGAATAGATCATGGTGGGCGGACTTGAATAAAAATCTGCCGACGAAGTTGTATTTTAATATAATTTAACCATTCTTGTCTGGTATCCAGAAAACGTTCATAAATAATAGAAATATATTGATACCGAGGTACGAAATTGAATATAGTAACTGGATAGTGGATTATATTCAGGGTGCACACACTATAGTTGGTGATTAAGGTACTTACATTTAGACTCAATCACATTGTTGTCCCCGATTTTCAAAGCTTGTGAGACTGTGGAAGAATCATCAAGGATTTAAACCCACGAATTTGTGCTTTGAACCTGAAAAAATGGTTATTCTTTTTTTAAGGTTTATAAGCTACCAGTAGTAATAGCATAGGTCATGTTTGGAAAATATATGCGCATTTAAATAAGTTAAAAACAATTAGTCATCATGTTAAAGAGCAAGCTTAAGCTTGAGTTTATTAGACCTATCCTGCAGAATACCACAAGTAACCTCAAACCAATCAGATTAAACAAATTATTTCTTTGTCTGTAGAGATGTCTATCACCAGTAACACATCGGCCATCAGCATGCAGTCCCTCTAACAACGCATATCTACAGTTTCTTCAATAATAATACATGATCAATAGCATTGAATGTTTTTTTAAGTCCATCCACACCTCCATTGTACATTCCTTGTTGTCCTTTTACAGTGACGAGGATGTAAACTGTGTGGCCATATTTCACAGCCGAAATAAATCGACAGTGCTCTCTGGTGGACAAACGATAAATGAAAAGGATACCACATCCAACTTCAAACACATTATTGGTGCCAATCACCATGGTTTTTGGCTCCACTCCCTCTGCGTCTGGCATGATGTTCTCCGGGTAACTATAGACAAAAACACACGTGGAGACGAAATAAGAGGGGTTGAAACTGGGGGTGGTTAATTAGTGTACGTGTGTTGTAATACAAAGTCTACCTGTTAATAATCAGCGCCTGCTCCTCGATCAGATTTCCCTCCCCGATGATGATCGGCCCGGCCTCTGCTATGATCCGGGCTTTGGGGTGAACAACTGTTCTAGCGCCTGCAAAACGGAAAGGAGATGGAAAATAAACCGGAGCTCACAGCTGCCTGGTAGCAATAACAATAAGAGAAATGGCGCTTTACGGAGAAGTTAAAGGCAAACTCTCACCTATGGTCACGTCTCCTCTTATTTCGCTTTCAACACACACAACCGCTCCAGCCGCTATTTTAGCACTGCGAGAAAAGACGCGGGTGATGCGAAATATTAAAAATCAAACGATGCAACCACAACATCTGCATTATCGCGGGCAGATCAAGCAGCTGGATAGCTAATAACGTAAAGCCAGTCTATCGATCTGCAATCACGCATAATTTATCATTATCAACAATGAATACCTCGATTTAAAGCCTACATATAACTGTGTGGTCGATTTATAAATACTACAATGTTAAGATTATTACGAAATAGGAGGGCATTTCTATTTACTAAGAGCTCACATTTAGGAATAATAAGAAAAGGAAGCCTAACGCCAATTAAATGTTAGTTTTCTACCTTTTCTGAGCGATGATCTGCTTGGCGTCTGACATCCTTGCGATGATCAATAAACGTGTATGTAGTTGATTATTAATCCTAGTTCAGAGTTGGCGTTCCGGTTTGATTACGTTGGTCTGAAAATCAAAAGCAGCCTTTAACTCTGCTGCCCTCTACGGGATTTATAATAATAGTGCAACCAATATGTGTGGATAACGTATAATGGAATGCTCCCAACTCTCTGGTTTATACATGTTTGATATCCACGAGGATAAATCGTGTATTTGAGCTACATATATGCCCTATATATTATCATTAATAACCAATTTGTAAACAAAACTGATCAAAATACTCTCCTCACTGTCTATTCTTTGGTTTGTATTATTCATTTCCGGTACACAAATATAACAATTAAAATAACACACATTAACCTGATGCATGCACAAAACTCTGGGCTGTTACATCGGTGAATGTTTTTTGGTAGATTAAATCATAGCAGGGTTGCCATGTCTCCTGCAGAGTGCATCAGATAACAATAAATGAGACCCGATGGAGCAACAGAATAATGAATAATAATAAGTACCATGTGAGCTTGGGGAAAACAAATCGTTACAATTTGAAAAGCCCCTCGGAGGTAGATTAAGTATAAGGAATAAGTTTATTTTCTTCTCATCTAAACAACCTTTTTATGGCTTCCATAAGCCAATTAAACAAATGTCAGTCAGATAAAGTTCGGTTCCGATAAATAATTGCCTCTGTTGAATTAGAATTCTGCCCCCATAGTCTCGATTTAAATAGTTAATGGGGTTCAGACCGTGTCAAGTTAGCGAGAGCTAACTATGATAAAACCGGAGATGGAGTGACACCATATTTTCAGAATGAAATTCATACTTAGCTATTTGTGACCATAACACAAAAATGCAATTTGCCCTCTAGAAATAACAAAGCCATAACCATTACCAGTGGTGGTAAGTTACTAAATGCATTTAGCCAATTCATGTACTGACAGCTGTGGGTATTTTATTTACTTTAAGGTATGGACTAAAGACTTTTACAAATTAAACTATATATTATTATCTGTATTTACGTTGAAAAAAGAAACATGCGACTCCTTTAAAAATGAAACATGTTCCTTAAGTACTTTTTAAAGAAAAGGTGAAAATGTGAAAAATTGAACAATTGTCAATGTGAAAATATTATTTATGATGATCCAGTGATATCATCACACAACACCGGGTAAGTACATCTTGTTACTAAAAGGCTGTACTTTGTCGTGTAAAATGTTAATGTACGTTTACATTGTATTATAGTCCCTTAGTTATAATTTTACTCTGAACATTTAATTCCCTGCTCACACACCAGAGCTGTATCCTGCTTCGACCTGAGCGGAGGTCTAATTGACACTTGACTCAGAAACCTTTGAGTGTGCAGACCAACAACACCGCTACTGTAGAGACGCACATCCTTCACGACCTTTACTTCTTTAAATCAAACACCGGAAGTGCCGCAGCTTACTCGCACTGACTTGATGGCCGTTGAGGTTTTTTTGAGCGAGTCGCCTCCTCAGCACCAGCCTGCGCGAGAGGAGAGCAGCCTGTGAAGAACTAGCTCGTGTTGAGAGGAGTTACAGCCCATAGAGATACAAAAAAATGATTTAAAGAAATAGAGAAATGGGACTTATTTACACCGTTGGACACCTGTATTTTCGCTGGATGGACGTGAGGAATCGCGTGCGAGGTGGCGCGCCGGGGCTTCATTTCTAGGGGTTTGCTTGTCTAAACTTTGTGGAAATATGTAAGTTAACTGGGGACAAATGAGACTGAAACATGGAGCAGGCGGCTACTCTCGACATAGAGACGCTTAAGGTAAGACGGTACTTTGATGAGTTTCACAGGCAGCAGGGAAGTTAATGTTTGGTCAAACCAAAGCTTTCAAGGGCGGTAAATTTACTCAAATGTATTTCAGTAATTTCTACGTCGTTTTATTCAGCGGCGCAAACCTCAAGTTCCTCCCGTGTCCTCTGCAACAGGTGCAACCACTTAACTAATTGCGCCATTGAAAAATAGTCCCTGCCAATTAAAAACAAGGCGAGCGTAAAGCGTCTTCCACTGCCGTGATCTCCCTCCAGCGAGGAACACGGGGATTTAACACCCCCCCTCTCCCCCCCTTTCGGCATTTACCTGCTATTCTGCGCATTTTCCTCGTCGAGCCTCCCTGAAATGTGACAGCCTATGAATATTCTGCCCGCATGCTTCCTCATTATCATTCCGCTCCGGCTTTGGAGCCACTAACCTCTGGCTACAGTATGTGCATCTTGGCTGCAACACGCACACACACACACATAGCGAGAGTTACCGTTGGTCTGTGTGCACCAGAGTCCGTCTATTGGCGCACGCACGCGCGTGCACGGAGCTTATCAGTGGAGGAATCCCTCCTGCTCACTGCGCGCTGATCCAGCACTTGCAGCTTGGTTGACAAGTCTGCAAGTTTGTCTCTCGGATAATCGCTGCGCCCCCCAACCTCTGTGTACACTGTGCACACTGTGCTTTGTATAGATTGGCTTTGTGGCATTATTTCTGTAGATAATGCACCTCTCAAGTTTGCACCCCCCATCCTCTTGTGCTGGTTGCTCTGATGAATGCAAATGAAGCCCATGGGCTTGATGTCACACTTCTACCCTGTTGCTCTCCCCAAACAGGGATTGGCCAGGAAATGTCTTTTTCTCTCCCCCCCTGCAGCCATGACACCTAAAGGAGACCTGGCCAGAGGTGACGAGGAAGTTTGCACACTTCCGTCATACTGAATGCAAATACATTTTTCTTGAATGTGTCATCAAATTCCATCCTAAAACCTCCTCAAACACGATGCTCTGCCCTGGTTGGCCGCGTGTTCTGATTGAACAGCTGCGACCTTTCCTCGTGCCAGATTCATTCGGAGGTCTTCGGTCCTCGCCGCAGTCTGCAGGCTTACCTTTTTTGTTTATTGGTGGCTTTCCTGCCGAAGGAAGAGTTGCGGCGCCCTTCCATAAAAGGCAACCGAGCCGCAGGAGATGCCGCTATTGTAACACACACACACACACACACACACCCTCCAGAGATGATGGCGCCACAGAAAAATTGGATTTTGCATCCAAGCAGAGCTTGATTGTCTCATCAACAGAATGCAAAATGGTTACGTCAATGAGCTGAGCTGCATGCTTGCAAAGTGTAATTGGTTTTCCGAGTTGCAGTCGTGCGCTCGGGCTCCTCCGTCTCTTTGATCAGGCCTCCCGTCAAACCAAAAGAGCCCATGGAACCGTAATGAACAGGTGCTTTGATACTCCTCTTGTGCCGTTATGGCGTTCCCTTTTGGCTCGGGGCTGCCGCCTCAGCGACTGGGGCCCCCGATCGCACTCGGGATGGACGAGCGCGGGCCTCGCAGTCATTAGCACATCTCAAATATTTTCCTACCTCCAGCGGAGGTGGCCCCCCGCGGGACTCCCGTGGCCCCGCTGAGTGAGAGCGCCAGCCGATCCGCTGATTACCGCCATCAAGTATTAACAACGTCTCATTTTCTTTCATTAGGGGATTCTCGGGCGCATTTTGCCGCCTCGGCGGCATGCCGCCGTTTCATCAAAACAGCATGCGGAATATCACCCACCCCGCTAATTGGTGAAGATGAGGCTCGCTGGCAGCGGGGAGGGGAATGCTGGGTAATTGCCGGCTTTGTTGGATCCAGCTGTAATGTCTCTAGTCAAAGCTCTGAGGACCCCCCCACCCACTAGTGGTAAACCATCCGTAGCTTTGATTTAGATTTCACGCCCATCTTTGAGTTTGAGATGATTTGTTGATATTTGTCTTGAATATACTGTAACACGTTTTGATTAGTAGGTTTGTTGGTAACTGTAGAGCTTCATTTGTAGTTTTGAGCCTATCGGGACCTCAAGACTTGGACAAAACTGACCAAGTACGTGAACATGGCTGACCTGAAAAGGACCACGATGCCCTTTGCTTTCAAGCCGCTCCATTCCTTCGTGAAAATACCGAAACGACACAGTATGTAGAAAGAAATAGTTGTAAGAGAAACAACCACTTGAATTGAATTTTATTGGCCATTCGTAGGACACACGATGGGGCCTGTGCAGATGCGTCAGGCGTGACGTATGCTCCAAACGGAGCGACTATTTTTAGCGGATAGTTTTATTACTGAATAAAAGTGGGTGCGATATTTATACTTACTTATTGTCCATCCTCGGACTGTTGCATCACAGGTTCAAAATGTAAGCGTCCATCTGTCCCTGCATTTACTTTTAACCACTGTTCCAATTTTCTAATTATTATCAGGACTGTTTCTCATGTTGCTAAAGGGCAGAAAAAAGATTAATTATACAGTTGGAGTCGGAGTGGTCAGACCCAGTAGACGTACATTTTTTGGTTATGTAGCCGTACTTTTGCGTATGAAACGGTGATTGCCTGACCAGCTGAAGCTTACTGATGAATGGAGGTCTTCCCACATGCACAGCTCGCTTTGCAATCCATATTTCGTTTTTCCCAAAAAGTCAAAGTTGTTTCTCACAGCCGCTGCATTTGGACATCTTGATAAGTGCAGTCCGGCTTGTTTGTGGGACTCCGCTGTGACGGGCATGCTGAAATGACGGATTGACAAAATGCCAGCCTGTGCGCACCCCTCCATTGGGCTTTAGGAGGCTCCAGGGTAATGTATGCATTAAAAGTCCTGCAAAGAAATCACAGGATCCACTGGCGGTGGGAACAATGGGTTGCTATAGTAATTACAAGTGCTGATGTATCCCCTAGCAACAGGGCATTGAAAATAGACTGAATCTGTCCAGCAGGGGCACGGCCGCAGGCTACAACATTTCTTTTTTTAATTGTTGATGTGGTAAGAATGCATTTGTACAATCTGAGTGTCTTGGATTATACGCAATGCGGAGAGACTTGAGTGTCTTGATGATTCTCGGGACCTACTCAGCGTATGGTTCTGCCGACCGTAAAGGTGCAATTGTTGGGGGGGGGCGACAAATATGGATCTCTGACACCACATTGAGAGTTTACAGCCTTTGTGTAAGCACTCCTCGTAAGGCTCTTGTCCCTCAGCTGTATCGCTGCTTAAATTGGAATCGTTGACATTTCTAGGCCAGCGTCATGGGTCATTTGTATTTGCTGCAAAGTCACAACATCCATTTGGGAGTCATCTGCCACCACTGGGAGGAAGGGCCTTAATGGATCGTCCAAAGAAACCGCAACTTAAGGAGTGGGTGAAGTGAGGAGACTCAGGCATCAGTGCAGATTGATAATATATATATATATATATATATATATATATTGGAATCGATGACATTTCTAGGCCAACAATCCAAAACACAGATATATTCATGCAGAAAAGCCGTACGTTGAGCAAGCCAGATGTGATTGTCCAAAAATGTTGAATCAACTCATTATTTCAGCTCCTGATAGACCCTGTCAAGTGTAGCTGCAACGATTGGTTGAGTAATCAATTAGTTAATGAACAACCTCATAAACTGATCAGCCTAGTAAGGGATATGGCTTTGTTGCAGCAATAATAACTTCCATCACAGGCCTATATATTGTCTCCTGCTTGTTAAAACACACTTCCTGCTGCGTTGCTTTTTCATTAAAGTGCAGTTATACTCAAATAAACAGGAGGGTAAAATTTCCCGCCTCGTTTCGAAACCTTAGGTCGAGTAAAAAAAAAAAGGCTTCAGCTCGCTGAGGCGAATAGTCTCTGCTTGTTCTGCCGCAGTTAATTAGCGCTGTCGGGGACACGCGGTATCTAATGGCACCTGCCATCAGTGGCACACGCTAATGACAAGCTTGAGTGTGATTAAAGCACGCGTGGCACGGATCGTGACTCGAGTGATGCATTCATTACACGGTGTTTCACTGTGCGCAGGTGTGTCGATTATAGACGCCCGTTTCATGCAATCAAAAGGGTTTTTAGTACCGACGTGTGCAATAAACAGTTGCTCTTTGGAAGTATGAGGATTTCCCCCAAAAGTCTTTGACCTAATTGGACGTAATAAAGGACTCTGCCGATGCTGGACATTTTAACTTGGTTTGCACCAGTAAGTGCTTTGCTCCTTTTAATCATCCGTGGAAGACGCCGGGCTGCTGCCAGGCGGCCTCGTTACGAATCCACCCCGACGTCCAGTTTCACACCGTCGGCCCCCCCTGGGGGCCACGGCCGGCTGGAGAGCGCCTTCGCCCGGATGACCGCACTTGACAGACATCATCCTCTCTGATCTGAGATCAGAGCTGGTGAGTAGCGGCGTCTCGGAGGCTGCCGGGCGCGGAGTTACTCAGCCAGAGTGAAGGAACGTTTCTCCGGCACCAAATTGACCCTCTTTTTTTCCTTAATCCATCTCGTGTTTTCATTCCCGCGGAGTGGCAGAAAAGCTTAAAATTTCATGGCTTGAACACTTGGGCTTCAGAGACGTCCTTTTCATAAGTAATGAACGTGTGCTGGGAATGTGGAGGACTTTGCTTTCCAGGACTGAAAACGATATTAAGGGCTCTGGCTAGTACATTATGTTCCAGATCTTCCTGCAGGTTTTCAGTATTGACTTAACAAAGAATTGTAAATTCAAACATGTTTTCCACTTCTGGGCCAGTTATTCCCACAACTGCTTGCTAACCTGTGATCGATGACTCTTGATTGATGGTTCCCCCTCTCGGGCAGAGATAAGCGCACATTTTTCTCTCTTTTTAATAAAATAAAGCCACCTAAACAACCCTTTCTTCTAGGTTAGTTTGATGAATTACCCCGAAGTAGTCCAATTTCTGAAAGTGTGCAGGGCCAGTGTACCCGGGCACGTAATGGCAAAGGTTTCAAATAATAGAAAATAATATTTGTACCAAAATAAAGATGCGACCCGTAGAAAAATGTCATGAAGCAGAATATATTACAGATTGAAATATCCATCGCTCAATTTAATTACCACGGCTGGATGTTTCACCCCAGCCTGCGTACACGTGTTCCACTCGCACGTAGTTCTTTTACGTCGTAGCACCACTTTTACAAACGTAATTGTAGGACTAACCAGCCGTGCCTCAGCCCAGAGTCTCTTCCAGTGGTGCTCACGAGGTAACGATGCTCCTGCCCGTGTTTTGTGTTTCCACCCCCCCAGATTACCCAGGAGCAGTTCATCCTCGCGTCCCAATCCCTGCATCTCCAGCGACCGGGCGGCAACGCCGTGGACCCGGTGGGGCTGCGCGGCTGGAGAAAGCGGTGCCTCTATTTCTTTCTGCTGCTGCTCTTGGTCACCATGATCGTAAACATGGCCCTCACCGTCTGGATCATAAAGGTCATGAACTTCTCTGTGGTGAGTACAAGGCGGCGAAGCGGTACGATAGTGGCGAACATGGCAGCAGCAACGTGTTTGTGAGGGAACAGGCTTCATGGGCGCAGTGTGATACTGTACACAGTTTATAAAAATGTCTCCATTATTCGGTCAAATACTGAAAATGCTCATACAAACTTTAGTCTTCTAAAACCTGAAGAAATACGATTTGCAGTTCAATAAAACTAAGAAAAGCAGCAAGTTCTACAATACATTTGAGAAGCTGGTGCTCTCAACCGGCTTGATACATAAAAACGGGTCACTAGTCCACTGGAACCAAAGATGATTTGTTCCAATGTGTTTTTTCGGGGACTTAATACAAGAGGGATTGTGTTGCTTGCATCACTGGACAGAGACGAGTACACAGTGCAGCAGCCCAAACAGAAGCATGTCCTCTTACGTACTGATGTGCAAGCTACACATTTAACCACTGAATGAGGCTTCTATCATGTTCCAAGTGATAGTTCACACACTTATTTGAGTCCGTTGGTAATTTGATGAATAGCTTCTTCACTTACAGTACAACACTACGCCTGTCCATTAGAAAATGCGTTGAGGACCAAAAATTTCCACCGCAAGACAAGAGGCAATATATATGTGAAAATAAGCCCCAAATAATGACAACACATGTTAATCTACTAATTTGCATAGTCTACTCTCTCAAGGTTAAGTTTTTTACAATTTATCATTTTACTGTCTATAGATCCAGAACAGGGCTTTTCTTTTTATATACTTTATGTATATATGTATATGTATATATATATATATATATATATATGACCTTAATTCAAAGGGTTAGTGGACAAATGTGCTTTGTCTCACGTCGATTTGACCAAAAGAATTGGAAGCGACTGGTCTGCAGGGCCGGCTGACGGCGAACGTGTTCATCCCAAACCAAACCGGCAGACGCTGCCGTGACATTTCCAGGGACGACGCGAAAACAATTTAGCGCTTTATTCATTTATTTATTTCGAGATAGCAGCGGTGGCAGCATCCTCGCTCCGTGACTGATGCGTCCCTCGACTGTTGCCATCGCTCGTACTCCGTCAGCCTCTCATCAGTCTGTGCCACGACTTAAAGACCTTATCGGTGCTGCTGGTGTCGTTCCAGAAGACGAACCTCACCGCTGTCCGTCTCTCTCCATAAGACGGCACGTGCCACCGCGCTGCGTCCTGCTGCTTTACAACCGTGGTTTCTTTAACTTTGTTATATGTGTCCCAGGAGGCACTGGCGACAAAACTAGCAACTTCGCGTCTCTTGATGTTTATGGCAGTTTTTAATTTTGGCCCTGTGTCATTGAGTTTGACACCCCTGCTCTGTCCTACCAACACTCGGGTCACTCGCTCGAAGACAAAGGGCGTAAATCGTAACGTAAATCCTTTTAAAGGTGGAACTGAAAAGCTCAGGGAGACAAAGAAGAGATTTCTGGGTCGTGCATGCTGGGTGCCAACTACTAATGTTCTCACCCCATTGTATGTTCTGTTCGGTTCATTTCTTCAATAACATCCCATTTACCCAGAGTAAAGCATATATATCTAGCAAAACTATACCTACCTGTGAGTGTCACAATGACAGTCATCTTTTTATTCCATTTGTCCAGCAAATTAGTGGATCCCAGTGTTATAAAAAAAAAACGTCTGTGATGTAACTTCTTTGTAATCGTCCAAAATAATATTAAGTGCATGGGTATTTCTCCAAGTAGGCCACTGGCTGGCATTTACCAGTGGTGCTGCAATATGATCTAATATAACAGCAGTACAGAGTCCAGCAGTCTCCAGGGTTATTTTCTCTGACTTCAAAGAGGCCACAAGGCACATTACACAACTGTTTTTGCTGCCTCAGCAGAACCCCTCATATCTTGTTAAACTGATCTTTTTGTTTTAGAAGCATTTGTCCCGCCTCCCTCCTCCGCCTTTGACTGACAGCGGCTCGCACGCAATCTCCACGTTCCCTCGCAGGAGGGACTTTACCGTCGGGCTGCTGACGTAAAGTGCAAATAACTCCCACCTCCTGGGCTCTTCTGACTTTGTCCTCGTGTCCGTCTGCAGTGTTGGCTCTCTAATCTTGTTCGATGGAGTTCTCCCTCTCTCCACTTCGCCTCCTATAATTTACGATCTCAATCCATTTATGCAAAAGGCACTGTGGACTCTTTCATCGCATCCCGCAGGGCCCATCTGTTCACTGGGATCCCGACAAAGCTGTTGTCAGAACTTTACTTTGCCCATTGTGTGTCACGGTATAACCTTGTTCAATGTGCACTGAAAGACCTACAATGAGGAGGGGGGGGGCGCTTAAGATAAAAATGGAGGCTTTTATCTTCCAAGATTCTCAATCAGATATTTCAAAAGTGTTCCTCTACAGAAAGACTTGAACAACCGTACTTTGAAGCTTTGTAGTCTAAAAACACCAGCGTTTTTTGTATACTACACATTTTCTATAATGTATAAAAATGTTTTTATAATATTATAATAATTGGCAACTATGTTGAGCCTACTAATTGAATTGATCATTAACAGGTATTCTTGACATCAATGAGGAAACTTTTGGTTTGCAGGTTTAGCATTAATGAATGTTATTTTTTTGTCTTTGTCTCAACATATTATTACATAATTGTAATCACTTGATATAATGTTTTTAAATCTAAAACGATATGCACGTTCATGCCATTATTAACCACTCTGCCTTTATTAACGCTCATTGCAGACCATTTGGCTTGAAATAACCGGATCAGGCCTGTTACCTACACACACACACACATATATGCATGTTCTCATTGATTTATTTCTCCAGCTGTGAGCATACGTGCAAATACAGTGACTGAGCGAATAAACTCAGTTTGATTTCACCAGGTGGAAAACGTGGCCGATGCCAGCCTCATCCAACGCGACGGCGCCACGTTAAATACAGTCATTGTAAATCTGCGCGGGCACGAATCCCCATGAGCCTTCTCGACGTCCTCTAACACATTAGCGTCAGTTCTCCTCACTCCGCCGCCCCGCTGCACGCGGCCCCTCACCGCCGAGCGTCGGTGGCGTTGTCACCTCCATGTCGTGTCCTGCTTCTCGCGTGTCGCTCAACGCTGCAGTCCGCCGGCGCTCTCGCTAATGCCGCTCAGCGACAGCAGGCCGCGTCGCTCTGTGCGTGACGACCGTGATTATGTTGCAGGACGGAATGGGAAACCTGGAGTTGAAGCAGGATGGGATTCGCCTCAAGGGAATCTCTGAGTTTCTTCTGCCCCTCTATGTGAACGAGATCCAGTCCAGAAGGGTAGGTTCCCTCTTTTTGCTCTCCTCAACAACTTAAACTCGCCTTTGGGTTAATACTTTGCAGCGCTGATGAACAAGGAGTAACTATCCTCTACTGACAGGCATGTGAAAGTCTCTCGCATGAAAAGATCTCTCTCCAAAGCTGCAGACAAACGGGCATCGATCTCACAATGTTGGAAGTTCTGATCAATCAATTTGCAACAAAGGGAAACTTCTCTCCGAGCTCTGACGTTACTTTGATGTTGTCCTTTATACTGGTGCTTGGATAGGAGAGCTTACACTTTCTCTGCCTGTCCTGTGCTCCTCCTCCTCATTTCCTGTCATCCTCCAATAGTGCACTATCAGGGCCTCAATCAGCAGGAGACGGGTAATAGGCTGCCTCTCAGCTCCTCTTCAGGCCACATGCAAGCTACAGGAGATTACAGGCGATTACAGAGGGACCAGAGTCCCCCCGCTGGATTTCCAATCAAACCCACACCATAAATTCCCCTCTTCCACTTCTTCCCTCCCTCTTCTCCTCTTTGATGTTTAGTAGATTAACCAACACAGCCCCAGTGCCGAGTTGTTTCAAATGTTCTTCTCCCACACGAATCACAGACGCTCAGTTGGATTATCCTCTTTTTCAGTGATTAGCCACGGTACAGAAAGCAATTTCAAGCAATTTTTTTTTTTTTGAGGCACGTCAATGGTGGCAAGTGACTCCATAGTTGGTATAATTTGCCAAAAGCGGATTGTGGGACAACTTGGTATTGACCCCTCGTGCTCTTTGATCTGGTGGTTGGAGCTAAATGTATATATTAAATATAATAATTGTGTGCTTAGCAATTGCAAACACCTCGAGGCCACAGCAGGTATAACAAAAGCCCCCGGTGCAATACCACCTGCAGACGCTTTTACTGTCTAGTTTTACAGTGGCCTCCTTATCTACCCGCACCAGAGATATTTGCAGGGACTAAAATCTCTGCGGGTCACTCGATATTTCTCACCTGAGAAAATATGTCAAGCAGCGCGAGAGCGGGATTATGGTTCTCCGATGACACAACGCCGCTGTTGTTCGGTCAGATAACCGCGGCTGATCAATAAGTCATCGCGGTGGGCCGCGGGAGTTAAAAGCTAGAAAGATTCTTTACTTTTCATATGTTCAAGTCGCTGTTGAGGCTCAAAGGTAGCTTTAGTTTTACTTCTCTTGGATCAATAAGTGCTTTGAATCTCCAGCATTGACCGAAGCCATAATCTTTGAATACCAAGTGGAAGTTGCTCCCTCGGTGGGTTTTTTGGCAGGAATGTTGATGGCTGGCAGCAAATAACAGGCTACGCTGTCCCTTGAATCAGCGCTCAGTCGCATTTTGGGAAATGTGAGCCGTTAACTTTGCACAAATGGTTTATGTTGGTTGTAATTCCTGCCCAATAAATAAAATAGAATAGAATAAAAAGTGTTTCAGGGAGTTTCAACAGGTCTTTTGCAGTCATATTGTGTGTTATACACAAAATAAATGTGATGTTTCCCAAAGTTAATTTAAACCAATTCTCTGCCAATTTTAAAGATAATTCGAGAATATCCTGCATGGCTTTGTGCTGTGGGAGAGCACCCACGCAGACACGGGGATTCAGCACCGAGACAGTGTCAATAATTGCAATTTTAATTTTCTACGTGAGCGTATTTTGAACAAACTCTGCTTTAGCGTGGTGACTGTTTCACAGCACGCTTCTTTACTGCTTTGATTCAAGGTCACCGTGTTCATCAGTTCTGTTTGCGACAGCAGCATAAAACCGTATAAAACCCCTCTGTTACACGAAATCCACACTGAGCAGTAATTCTCTGATCTAATAACGTTACAGTATGGTTTGTAAAGCCATGACATTATTCAGAAGGCGTGTCGCCGTCATTTCTGGTTATCCTTAAAACTTTGCCTTCACATCTTTCTTGAGCTGATAAATGTTTCCTTTGAGGTCACACGAAAGAGGCTGGAAGAAGACAACGGCCTTTCAAGTGTTTGCTGCTTTTGCAGCAAGCTTTCAGTGATGCCCTCGGAGTACTCTGTCAAATCTGACGGATGGATGGAACATTTTCTAGGTTTTTTTTCCTCCCTCTGGGCTCTTGTGCAGGTCTGCTTATCTGTCTGTACATCTGCCAGCTTTTACGGGGGGAACAGAACACGCACACCTGAACCGCAAAAAGACGCCGATACGAGAACCATGAACAAGATGTGACAGGAGGGCCTTAATTTCCAATTTCAGGCGTTTTATTGGACCAACTGCACATGTAAAAGCCACAATCCTACTTCAATTCTGAGCAGATTAAATCACTTAGACGCTTGAAATTTTATTACAAGGTGGCTTTAAAAATCAGTCCCACTTGCTGGACGAACACTGCCGTTATGCTTTCGAGTGTTTGCGACGCTAAAAATTTGAGCAGGTATTTCTTTCCCTTCATGTTCGTCACAGAGAACATTTAAAGAGGGTCAGAGACTCCACAAACTGGCTGCTGATGCATTTCCTGTTTCTCATTTGGAAGCTTTCACAGAAAGTTTTATCTGAGTATTTCTAACAGCTCTGCAAGTGTGTTAAAGGCAAATCCATGCAGACGATGATACGTTATTCAGTGCGTAATTGACTGTTTTTCAAAATTCACGTTTTATCTTGTCGAGCTTAATGCCTTTTTTTTTTATATCAGGCATATTTGTCGCAAACACCTGAAAGGAAACAAGTCTTGGGACTCGACTATAACAAGGTCGGCTGCCACTTGAACAAATTACATTTGATGAGCGTGTTCATTTTTAGCAGAGCGGCCACTTGGATATGTTGCTTTTAGTGTTTTGTGATTTGAATGTATTCCAGTGAATTTCCATCCTGAAAGGCAGAATGTTAGTTGTGTTAAACCACTGCAGGAGCGGATTTTACCAAAATGGTCCTCCTTTCTGCCTGAATGGGTTCAGAGAAAACAACCAAACGGATGCGTTAGTGTTTCAGCCTGCGAGCTGTTTGACCTTTGAGTCGAGTGAGCCGGTTAAAGGCTGCTGATGGAGACGGGGAAGTACGCTAGATGCAACTTGTCCACACGAGTCTTCATAATTATCCCTGATAGTCTGACCCTTTGCGGCTATGGCTTCTTGTCACATTGCTCATTTTCTCATCATTAGTGTGAATTATGTACAGGTCAAATTTGACATCTTTCTCAAAGATGGAACAATTAAATGTATAAAGCGTTTTTCAAACACTCAATTATAATTTTTAATTTGTGAGCAAGGCAAGGCAATTTTATTTGTATAGCGCTTTTCATACACAAGGCAGACTCAAAGTGCTTCACATCATAACATTTCATACAATAAAGGGAAATAAAATGCAGGAATTAAAAGACAATTAAAAACAGCAAATAAAATTATGAATTAAAATCTAATTTAAATTGTTTAATTAAAGGCAGAGGTTAAAAGTGCAATGTAGATAAAATTTAGCAGAAGGCGAAGCTGAACATAAAAGTTTTCAGTCTTGTTTTAAACGTGGTCAGAGTTGGGGCAAGTCTTAAATCTTCAGGAAGTTTATTCCAGCTGTTTGTTACGTAGTAACTAAATGATACTTTCCCATGATTTGTATTTACTCTGGGAATCACTAACAGATTGGTGTCAGAAGATCTTAGTGATCTTGAAGGCTTATGTAGTGGAAGCATATCAGTGATATACTTTGGCCCTAAACCATGTAGTGATTTATATGTAAGCAGTAGGATTTTGAAATTAATTCTCTGACATACTGGGAGCCAATGTAAGGATTTAGGAATTGGTGTAATGTGCTCACATTTTTTGTTCTTTGTTAGAACTCTAGCAGCAGCGTTCTGAACAAGCTGGAGCTGCCTGACAGTTTTTTTGGGAGACCTGCAAGGAGACCATTACAATAGTCTAGCCTACTGGTTATAAAGGCATGTACAAGTGTTTCTAAGTCTTGAGCTGACATGAGCCCTCTAAGTCGTGCTACATTTTTGAGGTGGTAGTAGGCCGATTTTGTTACTGATTTGATGTGACTCTCCAAGTGTAAATCTGAATCCATAATAACCCCCAGATTTCTGGCTTTATTTGATGTTTTCAGGGACGGAGAGTGAAGGTGTTGGGTTACTTTAAACCTTTCTTTTTTAGCACCAAATACAATGCAAACACGTTTGTTATCCTTTTCCTGTTACAAATAACTCCTGATACAACTATATTCATGTAATTGTCTTTTTACTGGTGTGCAATATGAAATCTAGAGAACAGTAAAATTGCATCGAATTAGACAGCTGTTTGCTCGCCTTATTGTCTCCTGGGGACCCGGACTGATCTATAAATAGCATCAGATGCAGGTGAGTCTTCGTTGGAGGGAAACGTCTCCCTACTTGCGTTGGTGATGCGTGACAAAGACGATCGTAAGCGCCGTCTGCAGACGAGAACGAAAGCGATGCGAATGTACAACGGGCTCAGCCCCAGAGACCCGAACATCCAGACTCGCTAGAACCGGTTTAATTTGGACGTATTACAGAATTTGGCCGTGCATAGAAAGAGCCTGCCTGCAACATTTGATATTTGGATGGGAAAAACAAAGCCATAATAACCGTGGGTTTCAACATGACAATTTGTTAATTGTTCAATTCAATTTTTTAATTCATTAAATTTATTTGTTCAGCTCAGTAAGCAAATTAGCTGTGGCAAAATTCCAATTAATTCCAAATATATTAATGCAAATATTTGGTTAGGTTTACACATTAATCCTGAGCACAGCCCTTTATCTTTATGCTTAAAGTCTGCGTTTTATTTGACACCCGCTCTCAGGAAGCCAGTTCCATCGTGTGAGGTTTGCTTTTGCTGTAACGATTTTCATTTCATGCGGCGAGGCATCCTCTGCTTTACAGCAGCCGTGGGAATCCTTCAGTCTGACGGACCCACTGCGTTCATCGTGATCTGCGCTTGACCTTCCTCAAAGGGCGCGGTGAATGGAGAAAAGAAAAAGCCTTTTATGTGTTCTCTAAGAAGTGTTCAGAGCATCGACGTCTTAAGTCACGGCCCTCGGGAAAACGCTTTAAGACCTGTGAAATCCTTAAAGGAGGCGCTTCCAATCAAGAGCTCCAATTTCTTGGCGATGCTGCGCTTCCTGGAGAACTTCTTTTCATGATGCGCATTTCTATTGTGAAGGAGGGCATGAAAATTAAACCGAATGACCTCTGCAGTTACACAGCGCACAAACTTGAGATAATGTATTACAATTAACTCCTGGCATTTTGTAAGAGGAAGTTATGTAATGCGAGCATTTAGCAGTTGCTACTGTTCTTTTGGGAGCACAATTGTTTAAAGAGACTGAAGGAGATGATCCGGTTGAACTTTCGGTTTGTCTTTTGTGCATCTGGTTCTCTGGGGCTTTGTTGTAATGATTAGTAGATGTGGATTATAATACAATGCTATTTACACAAAAGATAATGACGAAAACAAAGTGCGGCGTATGTAATTAAGATCGTAAAATAACATATTTCTTGTCTGTTCCCTCGTCCGGCCCCTCTCTCCTTCCACACCCACGCTTCCCCTAGGATAGCCTGTTGGTCTTGAGGTCGGAGAAGAACGTAACGCTGAACGCCAGAAACGACCGGGGCCAGCTGACCGCTCAGCTCTCAGTGGGTGAGTCTCCACTCAGGACGCTCCGGTTGGAAGCCATTTCACTTGAGATGGTGAAGCGCCGCTCGCCTTCCACAGCTAATGGGGGGGAAACGCCGGCTGTGACATCACTGCCTGAGGTCTGGCCTTAAGGCAGTTTACTTATTTATTTGAGTTTGTGCCTTTTTTTAATGTTGAAATAATCATGTAATTATCTGTGCATCATGGGAAGTTACACGTGGGTTCGGCCTTTACATCTTTTTAAGATATTTTTAATAAGCCCTTGCTGTAAATTAATGACTTTAATCAAGATAAGCGGAGCAATTCATCTTTAATTGTCTCTGTGGCGTTCTCAAAGAATCCGTAGTGTCTTCCAGAAGCTAACCTTTGAAGTTCTTACTGGAAAGGGCAATGGATTCTTCTTATTATAGTCAAGTTCAACCATCAGTCAGTCCAAATTACCAAAGCCATTTACATGATTAATGACCACTGGAACGAATGGGATCTGCTTATTAAGATTAATAGCTATTGATCTCCGCCAACATAAGTTGAGAGTTGATTCTGACAAGACTGGTGATAAGAGACTTTTTGGTTACACTTGACCTTCCTCAGAAATGTAGTGCCTGTTTTTGTAGAAAGTGCATTTTTTTGTCTGAGATTAGATGAAGCTTGGCAACAGTAATTTCATTCCCTAGCCGTCGCAGACGGTGGATTAATGGAAGTGAGCGCGAGAAAGGCAGACTCTCAAAGTTTCTGCATTCACATCTGGATAAACACCAAAGTCTGAAGAACAAGAATTAATATTCCTCACAAGATTCCTTATTTGTCTCCTTGCAAAGGCACGGCTGATCCAGCTTTGTGGGGCGCGTTTAATTTGCAGAGCAAGCACTTTACAGAGTGTTTCAGATTGCCAATAGTCCGACATGCTCGGAAATAGTTTTGCAAAGCCGCGAGGCAACCTTTATTTGACTGCACCGTTTACAAAAAGAACATTGTTGTTTGCTTTTCGTACCAGAAAACTATGTTTTTTCATTATCAAACTAAAACATACATTAAGTCCTGAAATATTGAATATGCCTGTAGAAGTAAACTGATACAAATTGAATTCTCAGCACCTGAGGCTTTCAATTTTCATATGCAGCACCACACTTGGCTGTAATCAGTGTTCTTCTAGTATTATTGTGGTGAAAGCCAGAAGCGCCAACCTGGATGTCTGCCGCTCTGCAGGGCCCGAGGCCGTGGAGGCCCAGTGCCAGAGGCTAGAGGTCCGGAGTAAAGACGGAGGCCGGCTGCTGTTCACCGCTGACGAGGAGGAGGTCACCATGACGACCAAAAAGTTCACTGTCACAGGTGAATGCGCTGTGCTGGGAATTTGTAAACGTCTGAAACATTTTCTTGGGTCATTCTGGACAGATTTCTCACATGTCAAAGGAGACCGAAGACTCCGTTATCTGGTACAGCTAAATGTTGAAAGATGGTTGAATACCAAGGATGCAGTTGGCTCATGCTCGCCTTTCATTTTATAAATTGCAAAAGTATACATTCTCTTTTAGGATTAGAAGGCGCTGTGTTTGGACATTCAGTTGAAACTCCCCTGATCCAGGCGAGAGCTACTGAAGACCTGAAGTAAGTTCATATTGATTGACTTAACGGGAGTTCATTAAAGCTTAATGTCACATGTTCATTTCCTGTTCAATTAAGATGAAGAGCTTTTAATTAATGATGAAAAATGTTCTACGGCATTTCAAAGTCAATGCAGCTCCTGGATAAAAAAAAAGAAGGAAAATGTGGCAGTAACCGTTATTCATGAGAATAATTATTTTCAAGCACCCTCTAAACTCGATCTGCCGGTCGCCTCGTTATCACACACAGATTTAAAACCAGGCTTGACCATCATTTTAATTTCACAGCCCAGGGCTGACATCATTTGTTAGTCACTCCATCGCAGTCAGGAATCGATTAAAGCACCGAGGGCGCGCGTGACGTTCGTACGGGTCGAGATGCATCCGAAGCACGTGATCGCCAGTGCCCCCCCGGCCACCTAACCAGCTGTAACGAGTGTGGTTTGTTGTCCACAACTGGTCCTGAGGGGAGTGCTGGGATCAAAGTTGGCAGAAAAAGCAGTGTTCTTGCATCTAATTCCTCCAGAGTGAGCGGAATGCTGATGAGGTTCACTTTAAAGCAAGCGCACATACACACAAACCCCTCTGTCTCTCACTCACACACACACACACACACACACGCACACACACACACAGCTCGGGGTTGACCATCTGCAATGTGGCCACAACCGTGGGGACACAAAAAATCTCCGACACGATGTCTGCTTGATTGGCTTTTGGATGTAAAGCCATAGTCTGTCAAAGTTATTAAATATATGCCATTCATACATAATGTATGCAATGTGAAAGTTTGATTCTCTCTTCAGCCCTGAGGACCCAGATTTGGGTCTGGCGTTGATTTCAAAGCGTCAAAAAAAATAAACGCGAGAAAAAAGTAATTCTGTACATCAAATAAACAGCAGGACGGGGGATATAAGAACATATGAGCCATATATTCACATAATTCCAACACCATGTAAATGAATGACCAAATTTCATAATCCTTTAGACTCAATTTAGCAAACCGATTCAAACATTTCAAGCTTTAGCTCTGTAATAAACAATTCCTATAATTAAAATTCCACTTTGCCAAGAGAATGTGACTCAGTTAGAGGTTCAGGGCTCTGCTAGCATCATTCCAAAGGGATGATCATCACCCCGAAAGTGCCTTTTCTTTTAGGCGAACTTTTCATTTGTTCCATGTGCCATCTTCATTTACTCTTAACCAGCAACCGCACAGCACATATTCATGTTTTATTATGGCTATGATTTTTGAGCAGGGGCCTTAAAAATGGCTCAGGGCTTTTGAATTACATTTTCAAAAGTCAATTTTTCTGTCTATTTCTAAATTATTCCTGTACAAACAAATTACGCAAACATTTTCAAACGAGCAGTAACAACGGTACTGTCGGGACATTAAATAAAGCAAATGTTGAAACGAAAGCTAGAGAGTTCTGATTTATTTCTTTTTTTAGAATTTTTTTTTCTCATTTGATGTCACTTAAGCCAACCACAATTCGGTAAAAGATTTACTATTCTTGATTTTTGACTGTAACCCTGCCTGCCGATCGAACCGTATCCTTCTTATATTTGGTTTGACATAAACATCCAGACACCAGCAAATCCTCCCCCTGTTCCTTTTTACCATCAGCGAATCAGGCACCTTCTTCATCATGGAGCCAGACAGTAAATCATGAGCCGCGGTTCCCCGGTGATCGATCACACCTTTTGAATCTAATGTATCATCCTCTATGATTACGTGAAAAGTCACACTTTTTCTAACGCAGACCTGCAGTTATTTTTTAAATCTGCGTTTATTGTGCATCTTTGCGCCACCTTTCAGCAAACCTCTGTGGATGATGATGACGATGATGATGATGATGACGCGGCTTGGCTCGTGTCAGTGTTGCCCTTCTTTTCTCCCCCAACCCCCCCCCGCCTTTAAAGAAACGTCGCTCTCTGTGCGCTGTGTTCTGTTTCTCTGCGAGCCAAAAGTAATCTGGGAGAAAAAACAGAGCGCAGCCTTAATCAAAGAAACCCACTGGAGATCTCCCTTTTCTTTGAAGCACCTGTTCTTGTCCCCGAGCGCTTTGTCTGCCAACGCCAGCGCTCAAGTTTGTCTTCACTTGTCGTCATCATGCCGCTTCTGAATAATTTAATACACAGAGTGTAATAACCCCTTTTGCCGTTTATATAAACCATCCATGTGCACTTCACTGTCAACACGTTTGCAGGATTGTATCCATGTCTGCTTCCAACTTTTCCCAATCTATTAAGGGGAATTGATGAGATGCAGGTTTATTTTGCCGTCGGATTGGTTGCCACAAGATGCAACACCAGCGTAACTCCAGAATTTCGAAATTGATGAAATAAGTGGGGTAAATATGAAAAATATCATTTGAGTTCCATTTGCTTTCTGTTCGAGAGAACAGACCACATGGCCGGGATAAATTGAGCCAACAAATAAAGGTAATTTAGGAAATTGATGTGAAAACACAAGGGCACAGTGCAGATTAGTAACTTGGATGAACTAGAATAATATGTTCATCAACTATACACACAATTATGCATAAATATAATTTAAAGATGTAATATATTAACTGTTTTGATGCGGTTGAAGCCTTCCAAAATGGTTGTTGACTGTTGTCGTCGTGTTGCACCGCGGCAGTAGTGCTGAAGCTTAACAGTTGAGTGGTTTGATTTATGGTTGTTTTGGTCCCCTGCGTCGCTTTTATTTCATTTATTCTTCGAGACGTGTTTGTGTGCGGTGACCTGTGAGTAATCGCCCTGGTGCTGAGGAGCCGTCCGGAGTGCTGAGCTCTCTGAGACGAGGGCGGCGCCGTCATCGGGTGGATGTCGTCCTGCAGGAGACGTGTCGGCCCGTCGTGTCCTGGTCTCTGCTCACAGCTTCATCACCTTTTTAGTCACAGCTCTGATCAGCTCCCTCACATCTGATCTCCGTCGCTCGGCGTCACTCTCAAGACAAACATTTGCAGGAAATTTGGCTGTGAGAATTCGTGTGTTGACTCGCCGCGTCGAGACCAAACTTCTTCTGTTTGTTTTTGTTTTTGCTTCAAAAGCACATGTGGATCTGTAGTGAGACAAAGTCTAGCATTAAGAAGAGCGAACCGGATCAGACGGCTGTCCGTGTAGACGTCACATGTGGTGCGTGTCTCGGCCCGGCATCAGAGAGCAGCACGACGTGCCATCATTTCATTCCCTCCACCGCACTCGGCCGCTCAGGTTCAGAGTCCAGCCGCGAACGCCCTCCCTCCCTTCCTCCCCTTTTCTGCTGGTAGCTGTGTCCACACAAGAGTGACAGGTTCATTAAGAAGATAAAGGCAGAACGGAACAACTCCTCTTGGTCCCACTTACGGCTGCTCGGACTTTTCTGACTCCCAATTTGTTGGGATTGAGACGCAGTGCAGCACGAGTGTTCTTGTCTGGTATTGTGATGCTCTTACTTGGCCGTGAGATAAATGGTTGAGCTGCAGAACCGGAGGACATCACGTACAGATACAAGTGAACTAATTGGTTAAAGGTTTGGGAGAGAGTCTCATTTGCTCTCATCTGTTTTTCAGTATATATGAAGTATCTAAATCAGGGTCTGTCAATACTCAAACCTAAAGTCGACAATGATTGGTGGGAAAACAATCACACATTTGAGTGTCCTCTCCATTAGGAGCAACTATCAACATCCATCCGTATCTACAATGAAAACACAAACTAATAGTACAGGAGAGGGACTGAGGATATTAGGTGTATATTTTTGTCATTTATCCATACTAAATTAGCAAAAGCATTCTCAAAAGAAGTAAATCCAGTAATATGTCATCATGTCAACCTATTTGAGAGGAAAAATCCCAAACCGCAGTAGAAGAGTCAAAGAAACCACAACAGAGACACATTAGATAGTCCCGGGTCAAAGACATTTCACAAAGCCTTTCCAAACTGTATCTACCGAGCACTGATTTGAAGCCAAAGAAGCTTTTTAAAATGCAAATGAAATTCATTTGCCTTTATATTTTTTTTCTCCCTTATTCAAGAGTGCATAATCCGAAATGTGTGTCACTTTGAGAGGGTATGGAGATTTAAGCGATTCCAAGACGACTCCTTAAAGTCTCCCATTTAAAATTCATTGGAAACCGATTTGGGGAAGAATGGGGAGGGAATCAATTTGAAACGGTTACGAGTTATGAAAACAAATTCCACATTGATTGGCTCTTGCACTTATCTTTCCCTGTGTAGACAAATAGCCCACAGGAGGAAAATAAAAAATGCTTTAACCTCAAGTTACTGAAAGGTAAAATCAGCTGATACCATTCTGTATTATAATAGTGAGAAGAGCTAAATGACTGCTCGCAACAAGTAAACCGATATATTCCTAAACTACAAATATATCCTTGTACCAAACCTGTGACTTCCGTTATTCATTCACGCTGAAAGGCAAAATCTTAGTGATGCAAACATCAATTCTATTCATTTTGAACAGCCCCAAATCTCCCCCAAAAAACGGGGGACGCTTAGGGAGCGTATTCACAATGATAATGACAGCGGGTGATGTCAGGGAGGACCAGGGCCCAGATACAACCACCATCCATGGTGAGGAGTATACACACAAAAGATTGATTTACTTTGTTTCGGCTGCGTTTTATTTATTTAAGGCTGGAGTCTCCGACGCGGACCTTGACCATGGAGGCTCCCAGAGGGGTGGAAGTGAGGGCTGCCAAGGGCCCGCTGAAGGTCAGCGGGCGAAAGGATCTCCAGCTGGAGTCCACGGAGGGAGAGGTGAGGTCATTTATTTGTATGCTCTATATAATGTATTTAATCTCAATAGGGTTCCCTTCTGAGGTGGTTACATGTTCCTTTTCCATGTGTGATAGAAAATTCAGTTTGAAAAATGAATTCTAAATGACAAGATTTGGCTTTACCGTGCTGAACATTGTACAAGTTAGGCTTGTAAAAAAAAAGTGTTTTACAAATTCTACATCTTGACCCAATGATTAAAAATGTTATTATATTTTATGGAATCCCACAGTGGTTGACACATTCCAGTTTGTCCCCAGGTGGTGTCAAACACAACTAACATGGCTACAAAAACTATTTTCAAACCAAACAACGTGATGAGAGAGATGGAGTTCTTCCTTCCCGTCTCCCCCTTGCTGCATCCACTCCACCCGTCGCACAGGATTCACTGAATGTGCCAGTCATTGAACAGCTTGAGTCGGTAACGCTTCACCTTGAGCCACGTTGTTGGACTAACATCTGGCATATCTCTGACGTTTCACCCCCCCAGATACTTTTAGACGCCAGAAGCATTCAGCTGGCCGGTCTCCCGCTCGGTGTCTACACGGAGCAGCCCGACCGGGCCTCCCGGCGGCCGCCCGTGTACGAGGTGTGCGTCTGTCCCAGCGGCAAGATCTACCTGTCACCCGCAGAGAGCAGCTCCACCTGCCAGGCCATGAGCAACATCTGCCTGTGGAGCTGACCTGGGAGCAGTGCTGTGGAGGGGACCAAATCCGACGTCTGCCCCGGAGCCGCCGAGGTCGTCCAGTGGAGATGCAGCTTGGACTCCTGACATGAGGTCAGATCTGCGTCCAATTCGGTCCTTTGGACGTCAGGACGATTGACGGCAGTCAGAGCGGTTCTCTGAAATCAGGAATATCAAGACCAGGAACATCTCCCGATGCCTTATGTCGGAAGGACACACCCTTTATTTTTCTACTTCATTGTAGGTGCTTTCAGCTTTGAAGGAACTATTGTTATAAATTGAACCCGTTTGTGTTATCTGAGATAGTTTTTTTTAATGCTTGAGAAAGAAAGCACAATTCGTTTCTTCCCAAACAATCAACATTTTATGATTTTTTTTTCTTAATAAGTTAAATGGTGTTTTAGTTTTGCTCTCGTTTGCGGCTTATCTTTTTGAAATGAAACCTGTTAAGTGGCACATATTGTATTAATTAGTTAAACAGACACATGTGCTGTTTTGAAAGGTTCAAAGAACCTTCTGACAAATTTACAATGAGAGAAAATAAGGCGACAACTGAAGCTGAATATCTGAAGCTGAAGAAGCTGAATATCTACAGATCCTCATCAGCAGATGAAGTTTGCCCTGTTGAATTCTGGGTGTTAAAAACAGACCATTTTGACAGAAAAAGCTACTCACTAGACCTAATGGTGGGTGGTGTTTTTTTAATGCATGACAAATACGAAGTAGCATTCAATAAAAGCGGTTTTCAACTTGCCAACATAAAACGTAATTTGCTGGACAGTGGAGTTTGACCTGAGAGGCTGGATGACCTTGCCACAGGGCAAGTGAGGAAGGCGTGCGTCGGTAGGCCTGTTGCTCCTCTTCATCAGAGCCGCGATGGCATTCTAGCAGCTTAACTGCCTCCTCCAGGTGGATTTCTAATATGCTTTAAAATTGCACTACGAAATACTGTTGCGAAAAGGGCACACACAAGAATACCCTACATAGGAAAAGCGATTAATTAGGATGGTCCATGAATTCACTTCATTTGCACGGCGCCACTAATGTTCAAGTAAAAATCCCAAATTCATTGAACTCTTGCAATTGATTTAAGCGTAGGAAGTAATTTAGTCGATCAGGGTTTCATTTAATAAACACCACCTACCAAACAGAGGGGCCCCACAAAGCTGCTATTCCCGTGAATGTGAAGCAGTATATACTTAAGAACTAAAAAGGATAATTGCACTAAAGGCATGGCCCTGTTCTCATTGAAAGGGCTCCACTGACACTGTTTTGATCGCAGTAGAGCCAAACAAACTGTCATAAAATGTATTAATTGGGTTGACGTGGCGCAGGGGTAGAGAGGGTGCGCTGGGAACCACAAGGTCAGCTGCTCCATGTCCTATCCAATGACTTGACCTGTAATGTTGAAGTGCCCCTGAGCAAGACACCTAACCGCCAATTGCTCCCCGGGCAAAAATGTAAGGTAAAATGACCTGTAATAATTAGTAGCTCTCCTGCTTTATAGACTGTGGAAATTAATTCGTCATTTTGTACCACAGCTGTTATACATTTTAGCAACACCCGCTGGCAGTTTTTATTTGGCACTATAAATAAATCAGAAATACGGCGATGTCACAAGCATGGCTTCTCTTCGTAGAGCTGATGTGGTCCCTCTCATACCTTCATTGTCAGTATACGGCAGAGGTTTCCATCTAGCAGTTCTTTGATGGAGGAAAAAGATCAGGGTACAACCAGCATTACTTTTAACCCTACAACTTTCACCCCTACTGAATGACGCCTGGACAAATTAAACTTAAGCATGTAGCTCAAGTGCTCAGTCGGCTTGTCCTCTTAAATTAGAAAGTTCTCACAGCGTTTGTTTGCCTCTGTTGCGAAGCTTAGCTTATACTGCCACCTATTGGCTCGTGAAGGAGCGTCTTGTCAAATATTGGCACAAACAATCTCCCCCCCGGTTAAAGACTGGAGAGAAATGAATATGAAAGAACCTTTAATACGCAAGTCACTGTTTTTCATATAAGTAAAGTAATCTTGATTACATATAGGCAGTAAGTTAGAGTTTAGAACATTCCTGTGTGTTATCCACTGTCCTTAACTTAAATCATTTTAAAAAGCTTAATACCATAATTAAAACAAATTCACCCAGCTGTTGTATGTGACATGGGAGAGTTTGCCCCTGGAATCAGCTCACAGTATCCTTTTATGAACGGAAAATAAAAAACTAATTTCTTTAAATCAGGTAATTTTCAGCATCTACTACATTTCTACTTTGTTGTTTACTAATAATACTTCAGTGGCTATTGACACATGGTCATTCTTTGGTCAAGTCTGCGCTTCATTGGCGTCTTTCCCCTCCTCAGTACTCGTGGGGGCTTTTGTAGTCGCTGGTGACTTGTCTGTATGCGCGAATTGGTCGTCCACTTCCAACGATGTACCTCTGTTCCCCGAACTCGTCTGTCCTGTAACTAAAGAAGGCGAGACAACGTCAACTCTCTCATCCCACACCAAAGTAAGCCAATACACAAATGTCCTAAAACATGGGGTGTTATTGAAGCACTAACCTCATATTCGCCTCTTCTTCCGATATGAGGGCAGAACTAGAAATTCCCAAACCGTTAGGAATCCTATCTGGAAACCTCACAGCGAGCCTCATGCCGTTCAGCTCATAACCCTGAAGGAAAACCAGGAGGAGAGAGAGGAGCAATAACTTGTTATGGGAACATACAAATAGAAAGTCCATGGAGTATTTTTCCTTTTTAAATTAAAGCAAGTCATGACATTAAAGTACATTATTTACCTCCTAATAATCTTTGGGACAGTAGAAAAGAAAGTCCTAACTATGGGCCTTAAGGGTTATTTACAATAAATACTCATTCCGCACCTCATTGGAAAGTATGCAAGAAGGAAAAAGTTCAATTTAAAATAAAAAACATGGCTGCTCTCAGATAGAAGGCATCTACGAAGTAGTTTATAAATTCCAAGTGTACTCACGTGGAAGCGACTGATTGCTTCATAACAATGCTCTAGATTTGTAAAGTTTACGAAAGCACATCTTTTAAAACTCAGAATCTTCACACTACTGACATCGCCGGCCCTGAAAGAGAAGAGCAAGCCAACAATTGGTATGCGAGCAGAGTATCTGACTTCAACGGTTAGGCTGTAGAAATGTGGACCAGTGCTTTCTTACTTGTTAAACAGATTAGTAACCACAGACTCGTTGACCGGGCTAACCAAGTTTCCCACCCAGACTGGAAACAGCTCTCTGATGAGGGAAAAATAAAAAGTCAATAAACAGACACAAGCAAGTATGCAGAGACCCAATGGCAGTTGTCTAAACTGCATGAAAGCATTCTGTTCTGTTCTCGAATAATAAATATCGTCTAATTAGGAAGCAGCAATAAGTGCAGTTGGTAAAAGGGCTCAAACAGGAACATCGAGTTAACCGTGGATCATATCCATTATGGTTTAACTAATCCATCATTGATATATGGATCTGTGTGGCAAAGTTTTAACTATAAGGGAGATTTCTGGCTGTGGTGGACAGGAGTTGAGAGCCTGCCAGAGGACACGGCTCGCTCCACAGGATTAGGAATCGTCCTTCAGGTGCAAAGTATATACAGGAGCACGGTTAAGCCATCAAACCACGTCGAAATACCGTCAGCTACTATATCATCCATACTAATTAAAAAAGGCACAGCAGAAATGTGAGATGGACAAAAAAAAAAATAGAAATAGATTCATAAAGACAGTTTGCATTAATCTGCATGTCCTTCAGACTATTATTCTCCTCCTGTTTGTCTTGCTGATAAGTAAATAACTGATCCAACTGTTGACAGAACGCTCACTGAGCTTTTTCATCAAAATGCCAACAAATGCCATCTAAAAAACACATGATGCTCAAGCGTTGTTACTGTACGTGTACTCACCGTGGCGGACGCGTGGCTCGATTGTTGGTCTTCAAGGGTCGACTCGGCACATTCAACATATTCTGTACGGGGCCTAAAGGTTTGTTCTTAAACGCTGGTTTTGGTGCATCGTGGGCGTGAGGAGCACGAGTGGGGAACGCGGTGGCTGTGAGGGCCGACGAGTGGCCGAAACCGTCGGCTGCTTGGGCCGGTTGGACGGTGCTATTGGAATGAATCGCTCCTACAAACAAAGACACGTTTAAGCGCACAGATGGACGTGGATGTACTTCAAAATGATTCAATCTGGGATAATCATACAAGCTAATTGAGCTACAATGACAGTTTAGGAAATGAAACATGGCATGGTGGCGTCAGCAGGTACTTCAGATGCTTGTTTGTAGAATCACACTCACCAGGTTGCTGATTAAGCTTCGACAGCACCTCCTGGGCTTTTTTTACCGTCCCATGAATAATTAAAGCATTTGAGCTCTGCTCCCGGGTGAAACCGTAGTCCTGAAACAGAAACAGAATTACAGTCAATCATCTACTGACTTGCCTTTAATAGTATTAAAGACATTTGTGTGTGTGTGACCGCAACAAAAGCGGTTAAACGCCCGAACTGCTTTATAGCGTGGTGACGTCTTAAATACACATTAATAAACGTTGGGTTTCAAATGCCACAAATGAATGTTGTTTCATGGAGTACAGAACATTCAAACCTGCCCAAGCGGGACTACACACCATCAGTTGTGTTATCTGCACCCGCATCATTTCCTGGGCAGCCTCAGCACAGGAGCCGTCCACTTTGAGGACTTCCCAGAAGGCCTGAGCGGCCTCCTCGTACCTCTGGGAGGAAGAAAAACAATCAAATTAAAATCAATGTTCAACCTCCGTGAACGTCATCGCGCAGGAGAAATCCGCCCAGTCGTCAGTCAATGTTTACAGCCGTCCTGGAAAGCTCAACGACGCTTTGAATAAAATCAGCTGTGTTGCAACGAGATTGTATTGCTAAGATGTGAATCGCATCATGAGGCTAAAACACTTTTATACATCCTATGGTTTCCTCGTGTGAACAAACATGACAACTCATTGAGCTGGATACATTTAGATGATTTTGCTGTGACATTAATAATAGAGCACATAAAGGAGACAGCTTACCTTTAGACCTGCCAACGCCCTGCCCTTCCTAAACAGGCCTTTGACCCAGCCCGGTAACAGGCCGAGGGACAGCTCGGCATCAGCCAGCGCCTTCTCGTATTCTTGCAGCTTTTCAAAACAGAAGGAACGATTGCCAAACAACCTGCGGCAGAAAGGAAAGTTAAAAACTTTGATAAGAACAAGTGAAAGCACCAATTCACTTTAAATGAAGTAACTGGACGTGCTCTTACTTAAACTCTGTAGGGTTGTGCTTAATTGCGTCGGTGAAATACTTCACAGCCATCTTAAAGTCTCCAGCACTTGCAAACCGATTTCCAATAACTAAAAAAAAAAAAAAAAAAAATTCAGTTTAAAATAAAAGGTCTAATTGAAAAAATTATGTAAAGATGAACCTTTTATCTACAGATTAGAATGTGCTGATGTAGCGGTTCGACGGATGAAACGAACCTGCAAAATTGGTGCTTATTTTTACATTATCTCCAACTGTGAAGGTCCCAAGGGTGGGGGAATCCTGTTTGGAAAGTGAGACATTAGATGATCAGTCTTATCCAGAGTAGCGTCATCTTTGCAAGGACAACCCGACCTACACTTCACCTTCTTTTCATCATCCGGGTCTTTATCAAGTTTGTCGGGGACGACTTTGGGTTCTTCTTTGACAGGGGACTTTTTTTTCTCCTTCGTCTCCTGCTTCTGCTCCAGTTTACGCCTGGCTATGAGAGCCGCTTTGCTCACAAACATGCTGTTCATGTCCAGTTCCTTAAAAGAATACAAGAACAGACGCATTCGAACCTCTGATCAGACCCGCGCACGCTTTTACGGGTAGAAGCTCGAGGTACACTGCCCACTGTCGCACAATGAGACCGCCGCTTTCCCCCCCATGTCAGTAGTTTAAATTAGAATTACATAGCCAAAGTCTCAAGATGGCCTTCTGCACACAGCAGCAGAGGGCAAAAATGTTTGCACAATAGAATTTACTTTTATTTGTTGGGTAACTGTGCAATTAACTCATTTTTAACCAGTTTCATGTTAAAATAAAGGACATCTCACATGTTCAATCCGAACTAAACATATCGCACACAACTCCATACTTTTAAATGAAACGTTTATCCACACTTCTTATATGATACAACTTTGAAATACACACGGTTAGCGAGCGGTACCTCAAAGTGGGCCGAGTTGCTCCTGGTGTTGCTATTGTCATCGTTGGTTTTGTCTTCACTACAGTCACTGCTGTCCAACTGGTTTTCCGAGTCATACTCTTCATCACTAGAAATGGTATCTCTTTTGGATTTATCATTGACTAGTTTGGTCCAGCCGGTACTAGAGAGCGGCGAATCAGTTTTCCCCTGCAAATCAGGAAATAAACGTTAACATTTGAGGCTCGCTGAAATTTGTAATTAGGACGTTGCACACATTGATCGCTACCGTTTCACATTTTGTAGGTTTCTGTTTTTCCTTCTCCAACTTCTCAAGTCGCCTTCTCTCCTTTCGATTCTGGAGGGTGAGAACACACACAAGGAAAAAGGTTTAATCCACACAACGTGACATTAAGTCATCGATAGGAAACTCATGTGGGGAGATGGAATTTACCAGTTTCTTGTGTCGCTTCTTCTCAGCCTTTTCCTGCTTTTTTAATTCTTCTAATAATGTGGCTCTTCTTTCAGAGTCCTACAAGAGTAGCATTAAAACATTGAAGTGATTTCAACCAAATCACATCATAAGAACTCCGTCTATTTGCCGAGACGGGTCAAATGAAAGAACTTTTTACAGAGAGCGTGCGAGGAATATCACAAGATGAAGTGCTTAAAAAGGTGCAAGCAGTTGCCAGATGACTTTGTATGGTTCCAACGTGAGCAGTTATTACTAACCTTGGCAGACGGCCTCTGATATACATAATCATCATCGTCATCTGTGACATTTCCCCCATCATCATATTTCATATCCGCTAGGAAAGATAATGTTCTCTTTAAGTTGAATGCAATTTCACGAATAAAACACTGAAAGCAAACTTGTGCGTGTGGCAGACGTGTAGTGTGATTCTTACCAAGAAGTCCCATTCTTATTATAGTTTCAAAACTGTGACAGGAATCAAACAAATCCACAACCTTCCGCTGGAAAGCAGAAAAATCAGATAAGCTCAGCAGTCAGCCTTCTACAGTTGTCCTTCAGTTAAAGACAAAATAAAGGGCAGATGTGTCCTCAAAGCGGTCTGCAGCTGTGTTCCAATGGCAGCCCTGTATGTTGCAGTGAGTTCACCCGAAAACACTCTTCTTAGAGTTTCACTTTCATTTAGCCAGGGGAAGATGACTCACTGAATCAACATCAGCAGGTTACCACTAAACACATACAAAGTCCATTCTGGAGACTACACGGTATGTAAAACAAAAACACGCAGAGCTCACGTCACATCACGAGACAGAGACTGAGGAAATGAAAACAAAAAGCCCGTACAGAGGGGATGACCAAAAGTACAGGGCGTTAACACAAGTTGTGCTTTATCCAAATTATATGAGATGATGCAATCAGTTTATTTCGGACAATCTTCCCGGCAAAGATAAAAAACAAAAACAGGCCACGAGGACTGAAGCCGATTCGACACATTTATTGTCGTGTGTAATTTAACAAGTTACTCCGTACAATGACATTCTTATGTTGCTGTGCCCCCCGTCCACATCATTACAATGACACCAAATGTGGGAAAATATATATTTAACGACAGAAAATATATAACATATGAATTAGATGTGATAGTTGCTAGTTCACATGTCGGAGTATAGCGGATTCCTCTTCAATAGCCAAGTGTACCCGTAACTTATCGACGCCACGACTCTTATCCTGTTGTGTGTTTGACTTATTTTTTATGGAGAACTACCGCCAACAAAGTTTCCCAAATGAAGGATACACACACGAGGTGCATATCCGAACTGTAGAGTACATCTATACAGACGAGTTGGAATCCATTGTTGGCGTCAACATAAAAGACGCACGACGGCGGCTGCAAACAGCAACCTCGCACCCACGTGAGCCTTCACCACCCATAAACAAGAGCCCCGGGTATCTTTCCTGTGTGTGTGTGTGTGTGTGTGTGTGTGTGTGTGAGGCTAAAGGAAGTTTAAAAAAAGTTTATACTCACGACCATCCGAGGATCCGTAAACTCTGAGGAGGAAGACAAGCAGACAATTTAATTTCGTGTAGAATCAGCACGTAGTAAAACGCACAGGGTTGTTCGGTCACGTATCACTTCACGGTGGGAACGCAAGCTAACTTCCAACTAAGCGTTAGCTTACGACAATCGAGCTAGTTTGCTAAAACTAGCTACCAACTTCTTTCAGAGGCTAATAGGCGTGTTCTTACCGGTCTCGTCTCTATATATATCCATGTTTAGTCACACTGGCTTTTCCACCGCCTGTTGGGCTCGTAAATTCGAGTTAATTAGCCACGGAGTGGCAATAACTTGACGCTAACGTTAGCCGCTGGTAACGTTGGCAGAGTGCATGTTGTTTGCGCGCTCTCAGCCAGCTTCTGCCTTCACGTGGACGTGCGGAACTTGTTTTTTTCAAAAGGACGCATGCGCACTGTGACACTCCAGAGCAGCGACGCATCCCTGCTCCTATTACCCCCCACATTGTTTCTATTCCATTCCCTTCCTTGACTTCGATAAGCCCTTTATATGTCTTACACATATGCATTTTTAAATGCTGAATGTATTTCTTTATGGCCAGAGGTTTTCTTGGCTTTTTGCACGTCTCATTCGGGTTTAACATTCAACAGGTTGCCAGAAGATTACTTACGAGTGGGTTATATTATCTTGCATTGTACACATTAAGGGTCAAAACTCCAATTTGCACAAGTCCTTCACCAATTTCGATCAATTTGAAGACAAAGTTAAATTGACATTTTAAAAACATAATCTTTTAATATATTACTTAGAAAATCATTAGCATTCATCATATATTATTTCCTGAAAACGTTTTTTTAAAAACACAACCTGTAGCTTCAAAACAACCACCAGTATAGCTATTAATTATAAGAAATAGGAACATTATCTTAATAAAATAGAGATTGTTTTGGGGGGGGGGGATGTCAAATGTCATTTTTGTATCTTTCTACATTTCACAGTAAAACTTTTCACTTACAGAGCAAAATGAAAGTACAAGGAATGTTACATTCGATTAGTCAAAAATAATTCAGTAGCTAAATTTTCCATTGGTGTAAACACTTGATAGCATATATTCCAAAGTACACTTCATTGGGTCACGGGTGCTGCTCTTATGTCCACATAGTCAACATGCCTGCACTGTTTTCATTCTCAAATGAAATCTGACGGCCTTCAAAGAACCTTTTACTAAAGTGGTCCCAGTTACAAATTAATATCTGAGATGATGAAACTTTTATATATCGTCGGCCCTCCTGATAATGGGAAATTCCATTCAAGATCATGGAAAAAAAATAAAATAAAATCACATGGCTTTTTTGCTTTCAACCAATAAAGGTCGTAGCAACCTGCAAAGCGAGCAAGCCACACACTCTCAAAGGCTTCTCGGTTTCCACCTGTTAATGTCAGGGAGGAACAGCAACAAAAGAGCCTTAAGTAGAACCCGGATTTTGCTTTTACATTTTTGACCTCGCAATCCTCCGACTCAAAGTATGAGTCGACCTATTCGACCGGGCACCGCGACCAATAAGCACCGCGCGGAGAGTAGCCGTTGCCCAATCAGTGCCACGTGCACGACTGACATAGTTAAGCACGGTCAAATGTGGGCCCAGAACCGAGTAGTAATAATAAATACTAAGACGGCTAAATACAGCATGAATGCATCTGTAGAAGTTGAAAATTGTTTTTTAAAATTTATATTACACTCTTTATTTACAAATGAATACTACATGTACGGCATGTCTACCCAAAATTGCAGGACATTGTAGGCTGGTTCTAGGTTGTTGTTGTTGTCCTTTTAAAATCGCTCTGCTCCACTCATAGTCCAGAGTACGGTGGCAAGGTAACACATCGCCAGTTAACTTGAAATGCCGTTGTATTCAGGTGCTGGTCTTTGGTGATTAGTTGGAAGAAGAATGAAATGAAGAATGTAACCCTTCAGCAGTCATGGAGACTTATTAGAATTGAGGCAATGTCCGACTCGAGATGGCTGCAGACGGTGACGAGTGGACAGTTACGTTTGATATCAGGCAGTGCGGCTGTCCAGTGGGAATCTTCAGTTTTCATTACACGCTTCTTCTATGGCGTACAGAAAAGGCCACGAGTCGGTGGTAACAACAGCTGAGGAGGACGATGGCACCTACCACCATGCCACAGATGAGGCTGAAGCACCAGCGTGGTCCCAGGATGGTGTAGACCTGGGAGACAAAGACGGGGGCCACTGTTCGTGCGCCGCTCCCCGAGGCTGTCAACCAGCCCATGTACACGCCCTGCAAATGAAAAGCAGCCACACAGAGTTATCAAAAGATGTATGATTTTAAGATAAAGAAATATTCAAAGTGATGTAAAAGGACTGATCATTTCAGCTCGTTAAAGCAACACTGCCATTACCGTGCAGTCCTCTTACCTGAGGTATGGGTCCCAGGATTTTGGAATACAGTGTGTATGACATCACGTTGCAGGCCGGGTACCCCACCCCGATGAGGATGTTAGAGGAGATGAACTGCGCCAGATGGATGGAAGGAGTGTACTGGCACCAGGTCTGTTCATACGGGCAGCCCGTTGGCTCCGCAGAGTGGTTCGAGGCTTTATTCATCTCACCGACTAATGAGCTGTTTTTCAGGTCTATTTAAAAAAATAAAAATAAAAAAAGAGGACAAATTTTAAGTCAGACGGCACATTTTCAAGTCAGTTATCTTCCTAACCGGCTCTCCTGTACCAAGCTGCATGTCTTTGGGCTGTCGTGGGGGAAACCTGACAACCCAGATAGAAACCACGGAAAGATCATGCAAACGACAGACAGAACGCCCGACCAGCCCAGTAATCGAACCCTCACGTGCTGGGAGGCAACAGTGGGAGCCGTCCCACCACAGGCAGCCCGTGTAACTCTCCGCTGTATTCTCGCAGTCCCGAGAATTGGCAACAGGAAAACACCAATATACTAATGTCCCCACACTCAAAGCGGGGAGGCCAAGCAGGAGCATTGCAATAAAACATTTAAATAAATATACATCAGCAAACCGAGCCAAAAAGCAATGCTTCAGCAGCTATTCATTACTCAGACAAAACGGAACAGTGCCTACCTGCCCACTGGATTTTAGGATAATGATTTCCCCATGGAAGGAGAATAAAGAAACCACAGAGTATAATGACCAAGCCAGCGAGCATCACAGGACGATCCCCATACCTGAACGCAAATCATTCATTTGGTTAATTTAGAAGGATTTCTGACAATGAAATATATTTTTATCCAATGCATACATATATGAAGATTGTTACCTTACAGAGACCACTTTTACAATTATAAACACCAATATGGATTGTAATCCAATGCAGCAGATGATGATGCCGTTGTATAACACAGCTTCTGTCCTGGTCCAAGCATACATGTCCATGGACAAGGGGGTGATAATTCTGGAAAAAAAAAATATTTTAAAAGAAGAAAAAAAGAAACCTCAAGTCAGATTTTGATTCAGGCCGAGTATGCAGAGACAAGGGAAACTAAGCAAAAGGGAACACTGTAACTGGTCTGCCTCAGTAGATGAAGTGATAAAATACTTACGTCTCAAAGACCGCAAAGATGAACATGACGATGAAGAAGAGAGCGTTGGAAGTCAGGACCGCTATGTGATCAATGGTCCGATCACTCTCTTCAACAACATCCTCTCCATCTACAGGAGAGGGGATGATACAGATATTAAAAGCACAAACCGAACAGCAAGACTTATTAGGAAATGTATTATCTTGTATTCATAAGATATTTTATACTACATATTTTGCAGCGGTACTGAAAGAGCCGGCTAAGAATTGAGCTGCTTTGCATGATGTCTTCCCTTGGAATGACAAACACTGTCCACTAAACCTATCAACTCTTCCTTTGATTTCTTAACTGGGCCAAAGGCAGTCTTCTTTTTCTGTAATCTATAATCGCCACATTGATCAAACTCTGGGGACAAAGGCTGGAGAGTAAGACAATAAATACCCTCCGATGTGTAGTTGATGGCTTGAACACGTCCCTGCTCATCAACGTGGTGGGGTCTGTGGACAAGAATCCACATTTTAAGAATAGCATCGAGAAACTCAATACTACACAGACAAAAGGATAACTCAAGTCTTCGTAATCAAAACAAAAAATATATACATGTATATGTGTATTGAACGCCTCACCTCAGCACAAAAACAACCAGCACGATGTTGATGAAGCAGAATGCTGCGGCGAGTAAAGCCGGAGTAGTGTACATGTTGAGCTGCAGGTCTATAACGGTCACCGTGACGCCGTGCTCACCGATGAATGACAGGCAGGCCTGCAGAGCTGACACATACAAAAGATATGCAAATGTGGAAAAACAGAACAAACACTACGCCAGCGTCATTTCCCCTGGTCACCGGCCTGGTTTATATGATTTGAACAAATTAGAGCCAGCTTTACCTGGTCCTAGGATGAAACCCAAGGCCTGACAGGCACTCATGTTCGCCATGGCACCGGTCCTCTCCTTTAGTGATGTAGCTCCGGCTACATAGGACCTCACCACCGCAACATTACCTGCCATAAAAATGAGATTAAAGCGATTGTTGGCAGGTTAGTTATGTGACATGGCTCACAAATATTAGAAATGATGAGCAAATCCATGGCATTCAATTAAAGTAGTTATTTACAGGCAGGTATGTTAACATTTCAAAAATGTGAAACGGCCCTGCACAAATTACCTGCTCCAAAGCCCACTAAGGCTCTGGATATGAGCACATGGAACTTGTTATTGGTTCTGGGCAGGTATGCGTAGGCGTAGTAGACATTGGCCAACAGGTTCAAGATGATGGAACACACAAGGGGCTCCTTGTGGGGCCGGTAGTTGGACCAAGTGCCGAAGATGGGCGAGGCTGCCATCTGGCCGAGGCTGTAAGCTGCCACGGCCCATCCCAAGAAGGTGGCACTGGCACTATCATCGACCTGTAAGAAACCACCCCCAAAAAACATGTGGAATCATGAGCATCTTAATCTACAGAATACCCTGCAGTACCAAAGTCTGAGGACAGGGATCCAATATATATATATATATATATGACGGTTAAAATTCAATCCATTATTAATGCATGTAGTCAGGTACTTGACACATAACTAGAATGCGACAGGGTGTTTAAATTTGCATTCTACGAAGCGTGACTAGCTCACAGGTCAAGTGCAGTACTTAGGCCTATTCTAAGAACGATTTTCTTTGTAGCTTCTTTCACTTCCCGTTTACCCTGCAAGGTTTCTGGAAAGGGGAAAAAGTGCCTTTATCTGTATTACGGATATCAGCAAAACCAGTCAGAAGTATTTTACAAAGAGAACCGTCAACCAACACTGTAATGTTACATACCTTTTGTAAATAGGGCCAAAGCGATGTGATGACAATAGTGAAACCTGAAAGGGCAAATTAAACTTAATCATTGAGTAAAGATTGATTTAATTGAAAAACAAGACAGGCAGACAGCGATGCATCACGGTCATTGCAACAGTACATATTGACACAAAAGGAAAATAACAATACTTTTAGAGTATAATGCAGTGATGGTGAAGATGATTTCCGTTTTACTTTTCCAAACCCCGAGCGTGGAGGAGACCCCTTCTGTGACCCCACGCGAGGGACTGAACCCCCGGTCTTTAGGTGGAGCGCATCCTCACCTACACTGCTGAGGAACATGGTGAAGTACATGACCCGGATGGACCGCCAACGACTCCTGTAATCTTCATCCTGAGAGGCATCGCTGTGCACAGGAACCCAAACAACACGCGCGACTCAAAGTTATGGCTATTAACGTTAGACTTGCGAACACCGTTGAATTGTGCACTCACCTGCTCGAATCATCCCCGAGCAACGGAGTGGTGTCGTCAGAGTCGGAGAGTTGAGACATGTCGACTGTGAAAGATGAACCACGCAGCACTGTGACGCTGACCCGACCTTTACAGACGTCAATTTAGCTAGCGTCAGCTAACGGCAGCTAGCATCAGCTAACGGCAGCTAGCTAGAACTGCGTTGCTAAGTCACCGTGGAGCCGACGCTAACCACACCTCTCCCAAACTCACACTGAACTCGTACATTCTTACATACAACGTTACAACCCACTGCGGATAACAATAAATAGCATAAAGAGGAGTAAGTTCCAACCAACGGTGGTGTACGGACGAAAGTCCGCCACACACAAGCTTCTTATTAGTTTATAAGTGGAATGCAAAACAGGTTTAGCAGCGCGTGCCGCCACCTGCTGTAGCGGAGTGTGTACGACCATTACGTCACGAGCGGTGTGATTTAACACAACTGTAGTGTTGTTAGAATAAATGTAAAAATAAAATACTTCACAGAGAAATTGTCTTCTGGATACTAAACCAGTTGCATTTAAACATTTAAATAATGTAATGAATAGGCTTTAACGTTTTTTTTACTCTTCATTTGTTCTATAACAGACATGGGCAAACTACGGCCTGCGGGCCACATACGGCCCGTTAGGCTTTTTAATCCGGCCCGCCGAACGTGTCCAAATTATAGTAAAAACCTCCTTTTTTCCCCTTTCCCTGCAATGCCCACGTTTCCCCAATAGTGGGGGCACTCAAAACACATTGACCGTTGCTGGAGTGGCGCGTATTTCTCTTAATTTCACTTTAATTTTCACTTTGTTTCACGTCACCATTAAGCCATTCTGTGAAAATGAGCGGACCAAAGAGAAGGAAAGTGGACAGCGAATGCCGAGTGTTTAATAAGGAGTGGACAACAAAATACTTCTTTACTGAAGTCCGATCAACGGCTGTATGTCTGATATGCCAAGAAGCTGTTGCGGTTTTCAAAGATTACAATATCAGCCGTCACTTTGCCACGAAGCATGCAAACTATGCTAGCAAGCAGTCAACACAAGAACGGGCGGCTACTGCTCAGAGGTTGGCAGCTAATTTACAGAGTCAACAGAATGGTGAGTTTTTCTGCTGTGTTATGAAAAAATGCATATGGAAAGTTTGGAAGTGCGTCTTTTAATTAAGAGCAATGCGCATTTACGCACAGCAGCGGTACAGTAGCTTAATTAACACGCACATCGCTCTTAATTTACATTTTCAGCTGCAGGTAGTATATTTAATACAGCCTATGTCTGTGTGCTTGCCAACGATACACGTGTACTGTTTGCGCGTGAAGGCGAGGGCGTCCGTGGCGAGTTTGTAGAGCGCGCGGTCAGGACAATCCATCCATGATTTTGCGGAGTTTAAAACAAGTAGATATTATTGAGCTTGAGTATTTCGTTGTGTAATAATATGTTTTGAATGTTGAAAGTGATTCCATTTTTCAATAAATGTTGATTTCTTTAACTTTGCACCTTCGATTGAAACTTATTAAAAACAGACGCACTCTTGATAAATCACAGTGCGTATGTTATTTTAATCTATTTACATTTCCTCCTCCCAGTATCTGCGAAATAGTATGTAAATGCCATATCTTGCATATTCCTTGAGACAAATTTATTAACTGATAAGGGCTATTTTTCACATTTGAAAGACAGTTAATAAATTGGGTTGTAGTGTTCTTACTGTGCTATGAGGTTTACACACACTACATTTAATGCTTTAGTATATCCGGCCCAAACACTCCCTCCAAATGCTCCTGGCCCGGCCCCTCTGTCAAATTTTAGAACCCATTGTGGCCCGCGAGTCAAAAAGTTTGCCCACCCCTGTTCTATAATGTTCTATACTCGTTTATAGAGAGATTTTATTCAGGAAAGGTTAAACTTCCTCTGATGAACAAATGTAATGGACGTAAGGGATGTAATCCCTGCAGACGTAAAGCCTAGTTTATGCTTCTGCGTTTTCAGAGCGATGCAAGAGCCCCTTGCGTGTCCCTTGCGTGTCCCTTGCGTGCCTTTTACACCTCCTTGCGTGCTTGCATGTGTCGAGCCATTTTTCTAGGCTTGCGTCAAAAGCTGCGCAAGCCTCGCAAGCCTCCTGCAGCGCACAAGGCTGCGATTGGTCTGCTAACTACATCCTTTACTGAGTCTCACATTTCTGGTGGTACATTTCAGCACAATACCACCATTATTAAAACGATTAGCCATTATTAGATTAGCCGTTATTAAAAGAAGAATGTTTACGAGAGAACGGATCAGATTTGAAGAGCTTTTGTCGGAAGAAATGGGTAAATATGACCGTCCGGTCCGGACTCCGTTTCCCCTCACTCCCTGAAGCATTGTGCTGACCAGCTCTCTCCGGTGTTCACTGACATCTTCAACACCTCCCTGGAGACATGCCACGTACCAGCCTGCTTCAAGGCCTCCACCATCATCCCTGTCCCCAAGAAGCCCAGGATCACAGGACTCAATGACTACAGGCCCGTCGCCCTGACCTCTGTAGTCATTAAGTCTTTTGAACGGCTAGTCCTGTCCCACCTGAAGTCCCTCACCGACCCCCTCCTGGACCCCCTGCAGTTCGCCTACAGAGCCAACAGGTCTGTAGACGATGCTGTCAACATGGCCCTCCACTACATCCTCCAGCATCTGGACTCCCCAGGAACCTACGGCAGGATCCTGTTTGTGGACTTCAGCTCTGCTTTCAACACTATCATCCCATCTCTGCTGCAGGACAAACTCTCCCAGCTGCACGTGCCCGACTCCACCTGCAAGTGGATCACAGACTTCCTGTCTGACAGGAAGCAGCACGTGAAGCTGGGGAAACATGTCTCAGCCTCTCGGACCATCAGCACCGGTTCCCCCCAAGGCTGTGTTCTCTCCCCTCTGCTCTTCTCCCTGTACACCAACAGCTGCACCTCCAGCCACCAGTCCGTCAAGCTCCTGAAGTTTGCGGATGACACTACCCTCATTGGACTAATCTCTGGTGGGGACGAGTCCGCCTACAGGTGGGAGTCTGACCATCTGGTGTCGTGGTGCAGCCAGAACAACCTGGAGCTCAACGCTCTGAAGACAGTGGAGATAGTTGTGGATTTCCGGAGGAACAGAGCCCCACCTTCCCCCATTACCCTGTGTGACTCCCCCGTCACTATTGTGGATTCCTTCCGTTTCCTGGGCTCCATCATCACCCAGGACGTCAAGTGGGAGCTGAACATCAGCTCCATCACCAAGAGGGCTCAGCAGAGGTTGTTCTTCCTGAGGCAGCTGAAGAAACTCAACCTGCCAAAGACGATGATGGTCCACTTCTACACGGCCATCATCGAGTCCATCCTCTGCTCCTCCATCACTGTCTGGTACGCTGCAGCCACAGCCAAGGACAAGGGCAGGCTGCAGCGTGTCATCCGCTCTGCAGAGAGGGTGATCGGCTGCAATCTGCCGTCCCTGCAGGACTTGTTCGCTTCCAGGTCTCTGAAGCGACCTAAAAAGATCGCGGCCGACCCCTCCCACCCCGGACAAAAACTGTTTGTGCCCCTTCCATCTGGCAGGAGGCTGAGGTCCATCAGGACTACGACCTCCCGCCACACGAACAGTTTCTTCCCGTCGGCAGTCGGGCTCATCAACAGAGCCCGGTCCCCCACTGCCTGACTATAACACTCCACCGGTCACTCCCCCTCACACCGCACATGCCACTTTAACTGCAATTCATCACTTTGTCACTTGTCACTTTGTCTCTTGTCTGTTACTTGTTTGTTAGTGCACTTTATGCTTAATATTTTTCTTTAACTTTTTAATATTTACATTTTTTTAACTTTATTCCCTTGTTTTATACTAACCCATAGCCTTAGCCTTATTCTACTAACCCATTGCACTAGCATTTTATTCTACTTTATTACTTGTGCACTGTTGTCTTGTCTGTCTACGGTCGCGCACTAACCGCCAAGACAAATTCCTTGTATGTTTGACATATTTTGGCTAATAAATGTTTCCTGATTCCTGATTATACTAGCCGTCACTCGCATGCTTCTGCTTCTGCGTTACGCACCGTTGCGTCGACGCACTCGTTTCAATTCATGGTTCTAAGTCTTGCGTGTGTTGCAGAGCAATTCACCGTCAGAACAATAAGTGGAGTAACGTGTTTTCTCGAAGACGACCTAGAGAGTCACGTCTTTGTGTGTGGAAGTCGTTGGTTTGTTTATTTATTTATCATAGACTTTATTGCCCCCGGCATCGCCACTGCTGCTTTTCATCGCGGACACATTTGTCCCGTATTTTCCTCCACAACTTTGTTCACACCTCGACCGGCAAACCGACGTTTGCCGACCCTTGTTCTGGCACACTCAAGCCTTTTAGAACCAATGGAAACGAGTGCGTCGACACGACGGTGCGTAATTCTCTTGCTATCCAGGGGGAGCATATTTTCAAGGCGTCCGCAGAGCAGAAGACCGTTTTCCTTAATCATTAATCTCCGACTGTTTCCGGAACATCAGAAGTGAAAGTGCGAGGTCCAGGAAAATGGCTGGTTAAGAACGCGCGGTGTTGAAGGTCGTCGTTTTCCCAACATTAATCGAAACTGTTCTCGAGTCCTCTCGATTTTTATTCTCTCTTATTTGGTACATTCAAAATCTAAAGCCATCGAAGAGCAGCGGAGATTTTCATTCCTGGAGTCACAGCAGCACGATGGGTAGGCCGCGTCTCGCGCCGTTTATTGATCGCTATCCTCTGATTTTATTCCGTTTCTGTTTTTAAATCTGTATTAATTGAAGCCCGATTGTGTATTTTGGAGGGGTGTGGAGGACCTTTGGGCGTCCTGATGTTACGGTTGGTTCATAAATTGAGTCCATCCCATTTTCCAGGCGCGCTGATCATGTGTATGTGCCTTGTGGCCGCTCTTGGTGCACCTTTGTGTGGCGCCTCTCCAGGTAAGTCGCGTGCATCTTCACATCTGTTTTTATTCATGTTTATTCTCCACAACCTTGTATTTTACAATGCACGACTTTCCATGCGTGCATGCGCATACATTTGGTCAGTTTATTCAGATTTATTCCCCGTTGTTCCATTTTGTGCGACATCTTTAAACTGCTTTTATTTTTACTTTACATTACATTACATGTCATTTAGCAGACGCTTTTATCCAAAGCGACTTACATTACACTTTAAACCCATGGCTTTTTGACATTTTTGCCCGGGGAGCAATTAGGGGTTAGGTGTCTTGCTCAGGGACACTTCCACATGGAACATGGGGCAGCCTGGAATCGAACCACCAACATTGTGCTTTTTTTCTGCAATTAGGAGTTATATATAGGCTACTCTCGATATTATCCGTGATCGACTAAAACAATAAACACCAAAAAGATAGGACATATGTGAGGCGTTAAAGCCTCCTTATTAAGTAGTTCAGAACTTAAATGTTACCAAAACCCAGAATAACAGTTACTTACATTTAAGTTTCAGGAAGCCTTGAGGTTTTAGTGAGGACTCCTGTCTCTGTGCGACGCGGCCACACCATCACACTACCATGCTGGAACAATCCACCACAGAGTGCAGATAGTTTGGAGGTCTCCTGGTATCGTAACTACGACGCCCCAATCATGTCTTACCGGGGTAAGAAGTTTGAGAATGCATCCCAGGATGCTTCGTATGTGGGCCGAGTCTCGTTTGGCTTGAAGGACGCAGCGTCTGCTGGGCTGACGGAGGGCGACGTGAGCCTGAAGCTCGAAAAAGCCACAGTTAAAGATGCTGGAGATTACATTTGTTACGTCAGCAGTGAACGTGGTTACGACAGGGCAACCGTCAGTCTCTCTGTGACAGGTGAGTATGTTGGAAGTGGATTATTTCAACTAAAAAAATGTCCCCTTCTACTCTACAGTAAATGTTTTCCTTCCTAGAAGTGGGAACCTCCCCGCTCCTGTCAGCAGTGTGGGAAGAAGACAACATGTTGAATATGAGCTGTGAGTCAGAAGGCTGGTACCCAACGCCGTATCTGCGCTGGTCGGATGGAAAACAGCTTCTTCAATCCACCAGAAGTCTGAGGTACAGCGAGGACTCGTCCGGTCTTCAGTCTGTCCACAGTTGGCTTCTTGTCTCCAGCTCTTCTGAGGTTTCCTGCTCAGTAGGAATCTTTGACGAAGAGCCGAAAGAGGCAAGAGTGCGTCTGAAAAGCCCTCCTCTTATTGGTAAATAGGGTGACAATTATTTGCACATGTGCAACAATGTTTTTTTTGTTCTTCGCTCAATACATAAAAATGCATTACTCTTTTCTTTTCAGAGTCTAAATCCTTCCTAGCTGGATGGGTGTGTTTCGCTTTGCTCCTCTGTGCCACTGTGGTGTCTCTTGGAGTCTTGTACTACAAAAAGACAAGTAATGGTTTGGCTTTTCTGAGACTTGTTTGTGATGTTTTAAATATAAACTTGGTAAGAAATGCTGAAAATGTTCTATGTTTCAGGGAAGGAACCCAAATTCAAATGTGAACATGCTGACGGTAAGAATGACCAGACGCATCATTTATTACTCTAACGCAACATCTCAGAGACAGTTTGTGACACGCATGAAATGACTACATGCACAAATTAGTGTTCGGTTTCTGGTCCAGCACTTCTTTAAAGGACTCGTGAGACACGTTTTAAAAAGCACCTACTAAGAATCAAATATTAACCCAAATACAACATGGTCTCTCATCGTGTCCTCAACACATTGAAAACTTCAGCAAGTTCTTTTCAAACCATGGAAAGCTCTTCCCGTGGTAAACCTAATAAATCTGTTTTCACATGCTGAGCAGTAAATGGCAACAAATTTGAACTTCATGTGTGAAATCCGTTTGGTGACATAAATAAACAGAACCTATTGGTTAACTTTATTTCTTATTTTTTTCATCCCCAGAGAATGATCACCTTTTAAGAAAAGGTAAGAAGTAACTTGACCACTATTCAAGTCAAAGTAAAACACTGTGATACAATATTTGCATCCTGTAATGATTATTCTTCCTGTACACTCAGAGATCCCGTCACAACATCCATCAGAAGAGATCAAGGATAAATATGGTAACAACTCAAGAATTTTTGGGAAATAACAGTTATGTGCGTAGTGTGTCAAGTGTTTCTTTCTTATCTGACCGTCTTAATTTTTTCAATTCTCAGTAAACGTCACACTTCAAACAGGAAATCCTCATGTCAAAATCAAGGGTTGTATAGTGAGAGACGGCGGGGGTCCCTTTCCTGATGGAGACGGAGTTACTTGTCTCACAGCCGTCACAGGAACACGTGGCTTCTCTTCTGGACAACACTACTGGGAGGTTTCTTTAAGGATATATGATAATGTACCTCTGAAAGAGTCCTGGTGGGTAGGAGTTACGAGTAGAGCTGTCTTACCCACGGAGTCTGATTTCTCACCAACTACGTCAAACGGTTGCTGGTTCCTGTCCTCTTCCCCCGATGGCCTCCAGTTTAACATGGAACCGAGCGTCTCACTGCCGGTCAGCTCCAGACCCCAGACGGTCGGTGTGTTTCTGGATTACGACCACGGAAAGCTTTCCTTCTACAACGTGGAGGAGGGTTGTCTCATTAGCAGTTTAACAACCACCTTCAAAGGTGAAATCTTTCCATTGTTTAATCCTGGTAAAGGAGACATATCAAGTATGAAGGTATTACAGAGGGAAGAACCGGGTGGGTCTTGTGGTACAAAAGTCTTTGTATCAGACATGTCGACACCTGTAGAAGAGAAACAGATGAACACTCCTGTAGTTGAGGGGAAAAGTGTTGAGTGACTGAAATGGGGAACGAAGCATCATCTGATAACAAGTCAATTTTAGAGAAGACGTTTCTTATTGTCTATCGTTATTTTAGCACAAACTCCAAACCAAATGTGCATGTGAATAACAGAATAACATGGATAGAAACCTCTCTGCAGATGTGACGGTGGTGTCAATCTTTTTTATCTAAATGATGAATCCACATTTCATTTTGTGTTTTTTTTATACTCACTATAGTAAAAACGTAGGCTTTCATGTGTTTTTATACCATATTATCAAGTATACACTGAAATTTATCTGCTTTAGTCTGCTGTTATGCACCAAACCGCCAAGTCAAATTCCTTGTATCTCTGACATATGGCAATAAATGTTTCCTGATTCCTGATTATACAAATGTCATTCATACACAAATTCTAATCATTTTTGAAGTTATTATTGCATGTGCTGTGTGACTCCTCTTTTTGTGAATGTGAGTACATTTTAAGCATTAATTATTTCCATGATACACAACTATATGTTGTCTTTGCTTTTGGTTATTGTGGTCTTGTAACGGAGCAGTAAACACACTACGAACAGAAATACTGCAGAAGTGAGTCTACAAGCCGGACACGAAGGATCTGTGACGGCAGCACCGACATACTCGAGAGACGCTGGTGACAAAGTGACAAAAACAGGACTCTGGCACCACCACTAAGTAACGTTTAACATACATGTTGGCATCTGATACGAGGAAGACGGCTTGACTCACAACTTAGAATGTGTGTGTACTCTTTGTGACTCTGCTTTTTCAATAAATTCAATCAATATGTGATCTTGTATTTGTTATTTCTATTTTTTTTTCACTCCACAGTCCCAATATAAAACCTACGACCTGTGAGCCACACAGCCATAGTCCACTGCTAATCTTATCAGCCGCACATATACAGCTTTTAAAGCAGTCGTGTCGGCTCCCCACTCTGTTCCCACCAAGCATCTCATTACATTTAAAGCCTTTTTGCATTTATAAGTCAATGCTATTGGTCAATAGTTTGAGGAATTACTGGGATCTTTCCCATGTTTCCTGATGGGTACAACAAGATTGTTTCCAAAGTCCGGGCAATATTCCTTCCTGCCAAACTTTATTATAAAAATGCAAAATCACCTCTAATGCAAAATCAGCCAGATGGCTCAACATTATGAGAGCAGTTAAACCTGATTTACTTATGGCCATTTTTACTTCTTTCTAACATCCTCCCCCATTCAACCCTTAACCGTCCCTTTGTATGCACACACATATCCCTGAATCACAAACCAAGTTTGGTTTACGCCACGTTTCTTCAACACATGCCACATCTGGCTTATATTCTCACCCATTCAGAAATCCTTTACATTCTTGGCCTTTTGCTAACAGGCTCCTAGTTTATACGCAGACTGCAAACCAAGTTTTAAAGCGCGTGCCGCCACCTGCTGTAGAGGAGTGTGTAAGTTCATTACGTCATGACAGGTGTCTATAAAAACAAAAATTGTGTTATTATCAGTCATAAAGAAATTCAATTATATCATGGATATCAAACCCGTTCCATTCAAACATTTAAAAAATGTCTAAATTGTGTTTAAATAAATAAGCTTTAACAGATATAAGTTTCCATGATGTTCCATAATCATTTTTTAATTGAAAGGGATTTTTTTCAGGAAAGGTTCAACTTCAATAATTTAATCCTCGGATGAACAAGTGGATGAATGCACACGCATTTAAGTCCCTGCAAACCTTTCTCTTGATCCCCAGATGAGCATTTATTGAAGGTGTTCACAGAGCAGCAGTCTATAATCGATCAGCTTGATCAGCAAAAAATGTGCATTAAACACCAGAGATGGGACATGCAGGAGGCAATACAGCCTCTTTATTAAGTAGAATAACAGTTACTCACATTTAAGTTTCAGGTAGCCTTGAGGTTTTAGTGAGGACTCCTGTCTCTGTGCGACGCGGCCACACCATCACACTACCATGCTGGTACAATCCACCACAGAGTGCAGATGGTTTGGAGGTCTCTTGGTATTGTGGTAACTACGACGCCCCGATCATGTCTTACCGGGGAAAGAAGTTTGAGAATGCATCCCAGGATGCTTCGTATGTGGGCCGAGTCTCGATTGGCTTGAAGGACGCAGCGTCTGCTGGGCTGACGGAGGGCGACGTGAGCCTGAAGCTCGAAAAAGCCACAGTTAAAGATGCTGGAGATTACATTTGTTACGTCAGCAGTGAACGTGGTTACGACAGGGCAACCGTCAGTCTCTCTGTGACAGGTGAGTATGTTGGAAGTGGATTATTTCAACTAAAAAAAATGTCCCCTTCTGCTCTACAATAAATGTTTTTTGTCCACCGTCCTCCTCCTTCCTAGAAGTGGGAACCTCCCCGCTCCTGTCAGCAGTGTGGGAAGAAGACAACACGATACCCAACGCCGTCTGAAAAGCCCTCCTCTTATTGGTAAATAGGGTGACAATTATTTGCACGTGTGCAACAATTTTTTTTTGTTCTTGGCCCTGATACAATAAAGGACTCGTGAGACAAGTTTTAAAAAGCACCTACTAACAATCAAATATTAACCCAAATACAACATGGTCTCTCATCGTGTCCTCAACACATTGAAAACTTCAGCAAGTTCTTTTCAAACGATGGAAAGCTTTTTCAGTGCAAGACATCATAAATCTGTTTTCACATGCTGAGCAGTAAATGACAACACATTTGAACTTTATGTGTGAAATCCTTTGGGCGACATAAATAAACAGAACCTATGGGTTAACTTTATTTCAATTTTTTTCAGAGAAAGATCACCTTTTAAAAGAAGGTAAGAAGTGACGTTGGTCACTATTCACGTCAAAGTTAAACAGCGTGATACACAATTGTCATAACGTAATGAATATTGTTCCCTTACAGACTCAGCAGTGATCCCGTCACAAAACCTTTCAAAAGAAATCAAGGATGAATACGGTAACAACCCAAGAAATTATTGGAAATAACAATTATGTCTATAGTGTGCAAAGTGTTTCTCTCTTATCTCAACGTCTTAATGCTTTCAATTTGCAGTAAATATCACACTTGAACAGACGGCAAGTCCTCATCTCACAATCCAGGGCAGTCAACTGAGAAACGCTTATGGTGCCTATTCCGACGGAGACGCAGTTACTTGTCTCACAACTGTCAAAGGAACTAGTGGCTTCTCTTCTGGACAACACTACCGGGAGGTTTCTTTGGGGGGTGAAGATCCTAATGTACCTCTGAAAGAGTCCTGGTGGGTAGGAGTTACGAGTAGAGCTGTCTTGCCCCAGGTGTCCAACTTCTGGCCAACTACGTTGAACGGTTGCTGGTTCCTGTCCTCTTCCCCCGATGGCCTCCAGTTTAACACGGAACCGAGCGTCTCACCGCCGGTCAGCTCCAGACCCCAGACGGTCGGTGTGTTTCTGGATCACGACCACGGAGAGCTCTCCTTCTACAACGTGGAGGAGGGTTGTCTCATTAGCAGTTTAACAACCACCTTCAAAGGTGACATCTTTCCATTGTTTAATCCTGGTAAAGGAGACATAGCAGTTATGGACGTATTACAGACCTGAATAATACAGATTAAAACCTCTGCAGAGGTGACGATGGTGTCAATCTTGTTCAACCCTCCACAGGAAAATGATTGATCAATGATTTTTCTTCCTCTGCCCCATTTTGTACTTTTTATTTATATCCACTGCTAAGTTTGATTCTTTCGAGTGATTTACAAGTATGACATAATTATTACATGCTACACAACTATATGTTCTCTGGGCTTTTGGTTATTTTGGTCTTGTAACGGTACAGTAAACATATATGTTAGCATCTGAAAAAAGGCAGACGGTTTAACTTGAAACTTTTATTTTTAGCCTGTTAATTTCTTCCATGACCAATTATCTTAGAATGTGTGTAAAACAGCTTTTTCAGTAAATTCAATCAATATAGGACTTTATATTTGTTTTGTTTTTTTCTCCACTCCACATTCACAATATAAGACTCACATCACGATTTAGTTTAAGAAAACACAGCAAAATGTCATACACTTTAATAAGTACAGGTAGTATTTACAGTATATACACCATAACACAATACTATGCAATAGCTACTGTATATTTTTCATAGATTAGGAAGTATTTACATTATGGATAATACCATAAATTAATTCTGAAATTATTTTTTTAATATCTGGTACACAATGAATTCAAGTAGGTGTACCTTGATACATAGTCTGACTACGACCATGGTAGAAGAGGTATGAACCACTTCGCAGGTGCATAATGGTCCTCGACTATGAAGAATACTTTTTAATACGCACGTCGATTTGGCGCCGCAGGTTGGGGGCACACGGTCAGTCAATGTCAAACACAAACTATACAAGTTACGTACATACATAATCTATCTGTGGTGATTTAAAACAAATCAGAACCATTGGTTTCTTCTTCCAAAGCTTTACACATTCATGTTTGGTCATCAGCCAAATGCAGGGGCATTCGTTTCATGTCACCTTCTCGCCTTTATGTATCTCCTGCTGTTCTCCACTATCAACTACATCACAAAATAAGGATGACATAAAAAAAAAAAAATGAACGCATATTCACATCTTTGCGTACATCTTGTCCAACAGCTTAAGAGAACATCTTGAACAGATACCGGGCCCCACGTGTGGGTCTGTACGACCCTCAGAGGAACTCATTACTACACAACTCACTTATGACCGGGGGCGATGAGACACTGCATGCACCTGAATTCAGGGACGGCACCCAAAAAGAGAAGCTGCGCTCGGCTTGCTCATCACGATTGCTGGTGGAGTTTTTTTTTTTTTTTACAACATGGTACGTGTCCTGTGCCGCCGCCACCTAGCACACGGCCGCGGCGCTTTCCCGCCTCCCCTGCTTCTTCAGCAGCTGGATGCGGTTGTGAACGTAAAACTTGATCGCCCTCCAGTCCCGCTGGTTGCTCACCAGCAGGGGGCAGAGTTCGAGGCAGCGCTCGCAGTCGGCCTTCGCCGGCACTCGCAGCTCCATGAGGTTCCTCTTCAGGTTGGTCTCCACGGCTACGCGCTCGTCCTCTGACCAGGGGCGCTTAAGTACGCCACGCTTCCCTGTGGGAGAGAGGAGAAAGCACAGGATCAGATTTACAGGGGACGGGGACGGAGGTTCGGGAGGTCATCGGCTGAAAGTGGCAGGTGGTCACCTGATTTGGGTGGAATGCATCGTCTCTTATGAACGTTGGCTATTGATGGGCAGACCGAGGAGGGAACAGTGGCCCTTTTCTTCCGCGGCGGTCGCCCCGGTCCTTTCTTCTTCACCGTCACCTCAGCTTTCTCTTTGACGTCCTCTTTTTCTTCCTCGGCCTCGGATTCTTCTGAGAAGGACTCAGCTGAGTTGCCGGACATTACTGTGGGACGGCAATGAAATGGGGGAGTAGTTAACTCAACTTTTTTATACCTCCTAACCCAACAGAACCTACACTTCCCACCTCATTTTTAAAACACATTCGTGGAGCTAAAGTTACTAGAACTCAAACCATCTCGAATTTTTTCCCTCCTCCAAATTCAGACATTAAATGGTGAAGGTGCTCGATACAAAATATGTTTTTTTTTTACCTTAAAAAAGAAGCACCAAAAAGCAATAGTTATGTATTTTGGGAAATGTGTCTTTTTGCATTGTTGCCAATAGTGACCCGTCATACTTGTAGCATCATATTGGATTTCAAATAGGATGTAAAGAACTAAGCACTTCTTAGTTCAGGAGTCCATCTTGAACTTGAGTCCAAACCGTTCTATCAACAGTTTTACACCAGTGAACTATTGAGCACAACCTGCATTAAACTCAACATTGCATGCCTGAAATACTTGCAGACGGGCCCAAGCCATTTCATCATTTTACGTCAAGATTAAAAAAAGACATGATGGAACTCCTTACCATCCAACTCGAGGCAGATGTGCTGCAGGCTCATCCCTCTGAACAGCACGCCCTCCTTCTCCCCGTAGAGGACCACGCGGCCCACGCGACCCATCAGTGCCGGGTCCCGTATGATGGTGGAGCAGTTCTGTGTCACGTGGTACTCTCGTTCCAGGAAGTCCTCCAGCTGCTTGGTGGCTCCATGCTGGCCCTCCCCCTCATCCAATAGGAGCAGTTGAGTGAGTATCGCTACCTGCCTCCGCACGCGCGTCGCTGTCACCGCTCCGGGGTTTTTGGCCCCGCTGGACCGCGCCAGGTTCCTCAGAAGGTCCGTGCCCCGGAGAGGTGTGGCAGGCGAGTGGTAGGGCCGGGAGAAGACGTATGGGCTTTCTGGGTCCACGCCCACGTTGGGGCTGGTTTGAAGGAGTAGGTCCAGGCAGGACTCACAGTGCGGCGGGAGAATAAGCGGCTGGATGCGACCGCGCTTGCCCAAAACACTAGCCCGCGGTAGGTTACAGAGGACCTGGCGCTCAAAGGGGGACAGCATTGCTTCCATGCCGGTAGGGGCGCTGCCGACGGAGGTCGCCGGAGGAGTGACGCGGTTGTGGTAGTCCTGGACAGTGAGCTTGGCCACCTCGCATTCCCTGTGGCGGTTGTAGAGGATGAGCAGGGACAGGCTGGAATGGCAGAGCAGGCGCCAGGACTCAGCAGAATGAGGAGAACGAGTTAGAGAAAGGAAAGAGGCGTGCTGCTGCCGCCGCAGGTAGAGGACCAAACACGAGAGGGACGAGAGCATTGGAGACATGTGATGTCTCTGTGTGCTGGAAAAGAGATAGTGGGGGGGAAGGGAGGAGGGGGTTGGGCTTTTAAAAATCTGTTGAAACCACTAAACACAAAGAAAACCCTTGAACAGTAAAAACCATATTGATAACAATAATCCAACAATACCTTACAATCTCTCCATTCTTCTCCTCTGGTGCGTCTTCCTCTCCGTCTCCGCTCAGCTCTAGATCTTCGTTTGGATCTACGTCTGGTTCGGGGGTGGGAGGTGGCACCAGCTCCTCCTGGCTCCTCGAGCTCTCCACCTCCACCTTCTGCTGCTCTTCGTGCTTTTCCCTCTTCATCCTCCGACCCCTCCTGGGAGCGGCCGGGGGAGGCGGTGACGGACTCTTAACCCGTGACGGCAGCGGGGCCGCGGGACGCTTCGAGCCGGGCAGCGGTAGGCCGGTTCCCTTCTTGCCGCTTCCCGCCGGCTGAGCCGAGGCCGGCGGCGAGAGCGGGAGGGAGAAGGAGACGCCGCCCGTGCCCGGGCGCGCGGCCGGCGACTCCCTCTCCCTGGAGAAGAGGGGCGGGGGAGCGGGGCTGGAGGCCGAGGGCTGAGGCACAGCAAAGGAGTGAGTGTGCGTGGCGGCGGTGGACAGCGACGAGGAGGAGGAGGAGGAGGGGTGAGGGTGCGTGGCGCCGCCATTTGAAGAGCCGTGCGCGTGCAGCTGCGCCAGCTCCATGGCCGACCTGACGTCCGGCTGGTTGGCGTGGTGCTTCTCCAGGTGGCGCGCCAAAGAGCGGTAGTGGCGGCCGCAGTACGGGCAGTGCTGCCGCCGGCTCACTGTGGCGGCGCCGGAACTCCCAATGTTCATGTTAATATTGTTGTTGTTGTTGTTGTTGTTTGTGGTGGTCGGGGGGGCCAGGGCGCTGGCTGGGGGCTGGGACTGGGATCTGGCGTGGGTCGCGACAGGTGCCGGTTGCGAAAACGACGAGCAGGGGTGCCCGGGTCCTCTGGCGGACGTGGGCGCGCTCTTCTTCTCTGAATCGACCTCTGCGGGCAGCTTGCGCTTCTTGCGCCGACGAAGCATCCGGCCCCTTATTTCCTCAATTTCCTCCTCTTCATCGTCGTCGTCGTCGTCCTCTTCCTCCTCTTCGTCCTCCTCGCGGTCCGAGTCGCTGGGCTCAGAGTGGGTGAGCGGGGAGGACGAGGGGGATAACGACCAGGAAGGGGTAAGGTAGTCAGACACGGAGAGGGACAGCGGGTGGGGGCCAGCCTCTTCCTCCTGGTTTGACACATTTCAAATGAAAACAGATGAAATTAGCGCAACATATCACTGGTGTCACCAGGATCTACATTTTGTTATATCCAGTTGATGTCTGGATAACGCCTCCCGTGCAGAATTTTTTTGCGGTCATTGGAATAAAGAAAAAAAGATTGAACATCACCCGTTAGAAGCTCACCATTGCATTCTCTCCCCAGTCCGTCAGGCTGTAGTCCACTGTGATCTCCTCCCCTTTGGCGATGTCTCGGATCGCTATGACGACCAACCGCACCTGGGTCCCACAGTGGACTTCTCTAATCCGACAGTTGGGCGGTGGATGGAAGAGGACAGGTCCCCTAACACCACTCGCTCCCTCCTCCCCCAACTCTGGCACACTGGGAAGCATAAAGACAAATTAGCAATTTGGATCTCTAACCTAGAAGAACATCTAAGCACAGTTATTTAAGCGAGGGTCTCCTCTACCAGAGCTGGGTGGGATCGGGCAAGTAGTAGGGACTGCCGGGCGGAGGGAGGCGATCTTCTGCTCCCTCGGGGTACTGGCCCTCACCTGGGAGAGATGTGCTAGATTTAAATCCTGCCAATCTTAACTGCTTCATCACAAAAAACACCAGCCGTATGTTTGTAGGATGAAAGGTGGTTCTCTGTACTGCAATATGTTGCTAATTACGACAAGCACCAGAGGATGAATACACAAACAGCAGGTGGTCAAGTGTGTGTGTGTGTTTGTACCAGGACTGTAGCTGTGTTCCGACATGCTCTCCTCCTCCTCATCTTCTGTTACATACGCACGGTCACACACCTTCACTGGTGTTCCCTTCCTTTTTCTTCCACACACCCGCCTGTAAAAAAAAATACATTTAATTAATTTTTGTAAACCAAGCTTCTTTTGCATAATGGTAGTTCACACTTTCCTCTGGTAAATATTTTAACATGCGAGACCTGCAACAAAGCAGTAATTGAATTTCTCTTCAATTACTGAGTCATCCACAAAAATTGTAAGGCTACGAACCGCTTAACCAATGACGGCAGCAGCCGTTTAATTCTTGTTTGTGATAGAAGAGAAAATGTCTTCGATTCGACAAGCCATCAAAACATAGGCATCTGGATATTTTGGTTGCAGGTTTTGAGTAGAAGAAAATTGGAGTGTGTAAGCAAACATAAAAGTGTAAGCAAACATATTGCATTTAATCTAATAAGTATGTTGATTAATTGTACCATTAATCTAAATTACGGAAATTGTGAAGAAATGCCCAAAATAGACATTTTTAAATAATCTGTGTTCTCCAATAGACACAATAAAAACCACAAATGTTAATCGTAATGATGCAAAAAAAAAAAAAGGTAAAGACTCCGCGAAGGTATCAGTTTTTTGTTGACACCACAATAATTGTAGCCTGTCCATCAACACTTGAATTTAAGCACCACATCCAGGCTAGTGTCCATTGCGTTTACCTGTCAGTACAGGTGTTAACCAGTCCCTGATTTCACGTGACGTCACACATATCTACTGGAAACAGGCACCTGGTGTGTAAACAGATTTCAGCCGTCTTCATGTGTTGAAATGGCCCCACCTCTCTTTCAAATCACGCCAGACGCGCATTAACAGAGACCTGATTAGCGCCACAAAGCCCAACGAGCCCGGTGACGGCCATCGGTTTTTCGGCTTCATTTTTAGCCACAGGTCGACAACTTTTGTTTACCCGAAGCCAAACGAGCCACGAGTCCAGATCTCAGCCGGCTGAGCAGCCGAGCGGCGTCCACAGCGCCACAAACACGGCCGCGATAGCAGGTTGTTTTTTTTGTTGTTGCGGGCATTATGCTTGCGGGGCTCCGCGGCGGTACCGGACGGGCCGGGGGGGGGACCGACGAGAGGGCGCATCGCTGGGCCAGCGGCACGAGAAGAACGTAGCGGAGGGCTCCTGCTGGGGCGCATGCTAACGGCGATGCTAAACCGGAGCTAGCCCGCTAGCCTCCGGCAGCTAACGCCGAGACGTCGCTGCCGTCAAAACACCAAAATTAAAAGGCGGTAGATTAAACGCGAGGCGGGTGCGGGAAGACGCGTCCTCTGCGTCCACAGCAGCTGCAGCTAAAGAACAGACAAAGAAAAAACAGACAACCCCCGCTACCGCCGCTGCGTTTTCTCCATTTAAACGCTGAAATCATGCACGCGGAAAAAAAGGCTTCTGATGTTAACCAAACAAACGCATTTTGCACACAGAAGCCCCGGTGAAAACTACACACGCGCACAGACACGCACACACACACGCTTCTCTCCCTCTCCCCGGATTGAGCGAAGCGTCGGGCTTTTCTGTGCCCACTCACCCCCTCGGCGGCGGCGGTTTGCTCCCATCCCCGTCGCTGTCGAGGGTCGGTGGCTCCCGGTAGTCAAAGGGCGACCGTACATTCTCCGCCATTAGGACTCCCTTCCCTACCTCTCACGCTCCGGTAGATTGCCCCCAGTGCGCATGTGCACAACATCCTTCGGGGTCCTGCTGGTAAAATGGGGTGCACCCACCTCCTCGGAAGATGCGTTCCCTCAACCTCGGGATCCAAAACCCGCGCGGTCGCGCTGATTGTTGATGCAGGGTTGCGGGTGTTCGATGGGTGATCTGTAAATTCCACGTAGAAGCGCCGATCAAATCAACGCAGTTTAATCGATTAGAGCTGTTTCAGCATACGCTGGCACGTTTGTTATGATCTGTCGTGGAAATATCAGTGTTGTGTATGTTGTCCAGCTTCTCTCTGTTTAACCAGCTTGTTACTAAATAACTGTTCTTAATTTCAAGAGGATTGCTCAGAAACGTGGTTTTAAAATGTCATATTTCAGAAGTGCACCACATTTGTACAGCTAGGCCTACATATCCCCTGCAACAACTACATTGACTATGATATATATCATTAATATATTAATTAATTAATATATTATATACTGTAATATAAAATTTATATATATACATATATACATTGCTAATAGTAACTTCTCAATTTTTGACTAGTATTAAACTGAGTAGTTTGGGTGGCGCTATTTTTCACCTACCCAATACACAAGGCCAGTGTCTCCCAAATAAGATGGGTTCAGATGCTTTTTGCAGTCTTCAAGCAACTCCCTATTAAAGCTGTTGCTTAAATATGGGGGAGTTCAAATAAAATACAACTACAGTATCAGTCCTCTAGTGTAAAGTAAACTTGAGTAAATGCACCAATATATTATTAGGTTTTATATTATCACACACACACACACAGCACAAGCTTGTAATCATTTGGAAAGTAGAGCGGAGGTTGAAGAGTGGGTTTTAATGGTCAATGCACCATGTAGTACCACCACCATACCAACAATTCTGGAAGTCACATTCACTCAGCGGGATTTTGCTTAGTCAGCGACAGAACACTACAGTGAAGTGGGTTTGATACATTTGGCGACACAAAATACAGTATATCTTTTTTCTACTTTTTATCCTTCCAAAGAAAAGGCATGACAGAAAATAATTGAAAACCACAGTTCTTATAGTTTCAATTTGCAAACAGTAGAGCAGCATATTCAAGTATAACATCTGGAGAGAACTTGACCAGGGCAGCGAACGTTCCACGTGGTCCTCACGGATTGATCCAAACTAAAATCAAATTTGAAAGCATTTGAAATTTGCTATTGAATCACATAGAATACATGTGTTAATAATACGGTGGGACATATAAAGCTACATGACCTATTAAGACAGCAAATGGATACAGTTTGTCACAGTTTATCAGTCATGTATTTCTGGCTACATTCTAGCAGTTAGTAGATGAAAATGGTAGATAGTTAGTACTCAAAATATATCCACTTCAATAAAATAAATACTACACCGTATACAAAAACAAAAAACATTTTCAAACAGTGTAACTGGCCACTTTGCAAACCAAACTTTAGAGGTCTGCACTTACTTCTTCGTTAAAGGGAACAGCAACTGTGGCACACTAGAGGTCATTTTAGCACTTGCTGTGGAAATACCAACGTCCGGGAAAAAACGTCTACAGGGCTTTGTTAGAAAGGAGATCAACTGGGATTTTAGCAAAGCAGCACGATTCTTAACCTCTAGTTTTCACAGAGCATATTCCAAAGAGATAATATTCCATTTTGAATACATAGATGGGGAAGCTGGCTGTTAGTGTTAAGTTCATTCAGACATTGTTGGATTGAATCAGACGTCTTCGGTTTCCGTCCTTTCTGTGTGCAGGACATGAAGGGTCTGCGAAGCGCGCTCAGCCCAGTGGACTAGCTCCAGCAGAACATGATAGGTCCACATTTTGAGCGCAAAAGCTCCCCCACCGCCATCGGTTTCCTACACAGAAGGAAGCAAGTCAACATCCGCAACCTTTCATCAAGAAAAGAGGAACAGTGAATAGAAGAAAACGGTGAAACAGTAAAAGTGGATTAAAGGGTTAGGGGCGGATGCCGAGCGGAGCTCAAGCGCGTGAGATATGGAGCTTGTTTCAGGGCGCGTCGGAGAAACAAAGCTGTCGTTCTCGCCGAGCACTTCATGAGATTAAAGAGCGAGAGACGGTGCCGTTTTCTCTACAGTAGCTGAACCATCTTAAAAGGAGAAAATAAGTTATTCTAAAAGGAGCCGAAGATTTAAGGCGTAGATGGCGAGGGGGGCGGCGGGAGCGGACGCACCTCGCGGCATTGATCGGACCCTGAAAGCACCGTCTCCACCTTACTGTCAAAAAGAACAACAGCGAGCGCGTAAAAAACTCCTTCGAGCGCGAGCAGAGATTCTCCTCGCGAGCAACGAAGTTCACGTTTTGCAAGCGAGCAAATACCTCGCGGAGATGAACTTTTGCTCGCGCGAGACAGGCTTTTGCTCGCGGATATTTGATTTTGGTTAAATTCTCAAGGTCATTTAGTCATTATGTTTTGATCAGAGTTGTGATTAAAGGTTTGGGTGGGCCGCGAAAGATTTTCAGATTTCAAATTGGGCCGCGGCATTCTTGAGTTTGGTAACCGCGGCTTTAGAGTAAATGGCCACTTTCAACGTATAATGTAGAAATTCTGAGGGATGGAGAAAGAAAATATGCAGCATAACAACCAATTCAGAGACTACTGAAGACATACATGAATATTTCTGTTTGCTTCCAGAATGACAAAGTTTTGCAAAAGTGAATGCACTTAAACCTGCAATAACATATTTTTGAGCAACCACATCATTTCTTTGAAGTTATATTCATGTTTAGCTGACAAATGCAAGTTCCAAATGAACTGTTTGTTGCTAGATTCCCCACTTTTCGCCACTAGTTGCGAACTATGTTTGCCTGTGGTTTGGTGCTGAAAATAGGGAACCTGAAATAATTCGCAGAGTTGAGGGACTTGCGGGGTTGTGTTAGAATTATTTTTGGAGTCGTAAAAATGAGGGACTCCTTTCAAATTAAACATTTAATCCATCGTTCATTTAAAGATATGACTCATTCCCAAGACATTTATCACATTAATATAATACAGCACCCTTTTACATTTAACTGCTCCTGTTGTTGTTGTCCAGTAAGAAACTGCGCAGCAATGCTTTGTTTAGTAAAAACATTTTTAAATCTTTGAAAAACACATGAAATGTTCTTGGTCAGGAGACGGTCTGTTGTTTTTTCCCCCTCTTTTTCATTCCATTTGTTAAAACCCTCCTTTTTAAGCACCACATTTTTGGGGGAAACTATGTCGAATTTCGAAAACGTCCACGCGCTACAAACTTAAATCATAAACAAATCACTTCACCTCGTTACACTTGTGGTCCGGGGTCACTTCCAGGATCACGTCCTCGGTCTCCACCAGAGCTTTGGTGGTGCTGAGCAAGTGCTCCAGCCGGAGCCGGACGCGCTTCTTCGCGGCCTCGTAGTCGCCCTCCAGCTCGCCCCACTCTTCCTCTTCCTTCTGGATGACACAGTGGATCAGCCCCAGGCACTGCCGCAGGGCCGAGTGCAGCAGCTGCACCTGCTGCTCCGCGCTGGGCTCCTCGGGGTCCGCGGAGAGGGTCACGATGCGTCTTGCGTCGGGGGGGTGGTACAACAGGAAGGTCTCCTTCTCTTTCTGAACAGGGGCGAGAACGAGACGGTTTGTTTTCGGGCTTGAACACAAGAGTGCAGAGCAAGACGGACGGGCGCAAGGGGCTTCTCGGCCTCACCTTGTGTTTCAGCTCAGTTACACATTAACACTAAGGACAGGTGTATTGATCAATTGAAAGATCATCTAAAAAAGAAGTTTAAAAAAAGGATGGGTAACAGAAGCATGACGGATGGAAAATGGAGGGAATGGGGAGAGGGGGCGCGGCTTTTAGTATGATTGCCCTGCACCCCTTTTGGGAATAACTGAATGTTAAACACATCACTCAAATGCTACAGGTAGCACAGCCGGCAGCTCTTTAATCACATAAACACAACCGACTACGTTTTAAAATGATGTCATATTTCAGAAGTGCACCACACCCTGGATTGGTCGCCAGCCAATCGCAAGGCTAACACAGAGACATACAACCATTCACACTCACATCCACACACCGACATATATATATCGCTAATAGTAACTTATCAATTTTTGACTAGTATTAAACTGTTGTGGGTAGTTTGGGTGGAGCTATTTTTCACCTACCCAATACACAAGGCCAGTGTCTCCCAAATAAGATTCAGATGTTTTTTTGCAGTCTTCAAGCAACTACCTATTAAAGCTGTGGAATAAATATGGGGGATTTCAAATAAAATACAACTACAGTAGCAGTCAGTTTAGAAGTGTCAAGTAAACTCGAGTAAATACACCAATATATTATTATGTTTCATATTATCATTACACACACACACACACACACACACACACACACACACACACACACACACACACAGCACAAGCTTGTAATCATTTGTAAAGTAGCGCTGAGGTTGAAGAGTGGGTTTTAATGGTTAATGCACATGTAGTTAATCATCACAGAGATACAAGGAAAAGCACGGCAATAAGAAAACCACCATATCACATTCACTCAGCGGGATTATGCTTAGTCAGGCACAGAACACTACAGTGACGTTGTTATGTTAAGTGGGTTTGATACATTTGGCAACAAAGTACAGTATTATTTTATATATTTATACATTATATATTTTTTTACAGTATATTTCTTTTAACCTTCCAAAGAAAAGGCATGACAGAAACATATTTGAAAACCACAGTCCTTATAGTTTACATTTATTATCAGTAGAGCAAAAAAAAGGATGGGTAACAGAAGCATGACGGGTGGAAAATGTAAAAAAAATCCAATACATTCCAGCCATTAGGCATCCTAAGGGAAATGGAGGGGGCGGGGCTTTTCGTAGGATTGCCGGGAATGACCAAGTGTGCGCCGGTGAATGTTAAAACACGTCACTCAAATGCTACAGGTAGCATAGCCGGCAGCTCTTTAATCACATAAACACAAACGACGGTGCCGCTAACCGAAAACTCACGTATAGCTGGAGCAGAAGAGCACATTCGTGGCGAAGTAGCCGGGCGAGAGCCACCGCTCTCTCCGTCTGCGACGCGTCTTGCGCGGGTCCCTCCTGCCGCTCTGCCATTTGCAGTACGGCCGCGCTTTGCACCCGGCGGACCCGGCGGAGCACCTACCGTCGACTGCGTCGGTAACGGAACCGATCTGACAAGCGGAACTCTTAGGGGGGGGGGGCGGGGGGGCGGTACTTTAGCAGCTCAGAACCGGGCCGTGGATCGCAACCCAGCGAGTGTCACTGCGGCGCGCACCTACGGGGGATTTAATTGGTTGCGCAAGACACGGGGGCGTTTTAGGAAGGGGGGGGGGGGCGTACTTCCTTTCCTTTTTTTCATCATCAAAAACGTCACTATGCGGCCCACCCACCCCGCAAATAAAACCCCAAAACATTTTTCTTTTACTGGGGTTTTGTAGTCACAGGAAGATAATGTGGGAGAACCTCCAAACTATTTCCTCCCTAGGTGTGGGAATCCGTGTAGAGAGCAGACATGTGATCTTTCTTCTAGTCATTCACTACTAGTACTTTTAAACACATAGAACGGGTAACATTCGGTTCCTATAATTCAAACCAAAGTTCCTCCAAAACCAAATAAACACTGGACATTATTAAGTTACCAGTATTTTAAGACAAATCCCAAAAATATAATAGAAATTATCTTTTCTCAGCGTCTGGGCTAACTAAAAGTTTGAATGAATGGGTAAATTTAAAAGATGTTTAAAAAAGGTGTATTCATTAAGATTCGATATTGGTATCAGTGTTGGTAGATCAGGTATACACTTTTTATAAAATGCCAAAAATGTCAGAGATGAATTTTCATATATAGTTTGATGCGTTTTTTCCTTCAAATGTAAACAATGTAGATAATTACAGTAGACGGTGTCAGGAATAAAAGACAAAAACGTTCGAACACAGTTTGTTTATTATTAGTAATCTGAAAACATTTTCTAATAAATTAAAATTATATGATTACGAATGCTCAGTAGTAGTTGCAGTGCAAAGAGGTATATTATATTATCGAAGATTGCTTCAAGAAAAAAAACACGATAAAAACTATGCTGCTCCCTGCATAGTCTTACCTGTGAAAAATGATTAAGGCAACAATCTGTAACAAATTAAATCAGATGCTTGAGTTCAATTTGAAAGGGAAGTGACGACTCACAATGATCGATAGTATCTTTAGAAAATTAGGTTTTGGGCTTTTTCACAAAAGACATTTCAACATGTTGCATAGGATGTTGACGCAGACACTTAAATAGAAGGGAGCAATCCATAATACAAATTACACTTGTGATTTATCTACTTTAACTCCAAATGGCTGCTGAGGAAGAAAAGATTTTTCTTACCTCTATTTCAAAATATGTCAAATCATTATGGGTTTTGTTTTGTTCATCAAACTAATTTGTGTGAAAAGGCATGGACTCTTTCTTAGAATGCATCTCACAATAAAGATTATTTTACTTTAAGAATCTTGTTTGGTTTTAATTGTTGCTCACAGTTAATTTGTTCTGTAGGTATCTAAAACTACTAGAGTTGACCAAATTATGTTAATAACACTAGTTCATTCACATATGGACATGAGGGGTATAAATGTCTTTTTAAATTTTTTTGCACAACATGTACCATGATCCTGTAGTCTTCTTCATCTAACATCTATATATATATATACACACACTTATATAAACACACGTCACAAAATCAACATATTCAGTAGGTAGTAAAAAGTGTACATTTTCAATAATATAATAAATACATACTCCCTGATACAAGTAGCTCTCTATAGTTAACTACTTTGTTACTCTCCCTGGAGACATATCTATAATTTCAAACATCAGCTTCAGCTTGTGACAGGTTCTTCGGTCTTTTGTTCCTTTCTTAAAGCCAAACCTCCCTGCATAAAGTTCCTGTTATGATCCTGTCGTGTGTGTGCGCTTTTTTTCTTCATCTAGATCAAACTTTCTGCATTAACCTCTGCACACTGTAAAAGAACCGGCCTCGCTCCTTCCCTCTCCCACACAATCCCCTCATCTTCCTTCCTTCTTTCCTCGTGACCCTGCCACATCATTTCCCCGACATCCTGATGAGCGCCACCCACCACCACCCTCTCCCACAGCTCGCCCTCTCCGGGTAACGGTTCACTCCCATCAGTCTCCCTGCCCCACTGCAAAGCCTGCTGGGAAGCCAGAGACGCCGTGGAGGCCAGTGTGGTGACGGAGCTCAGTGTGAGCAGGGTGCTCTGAGGGTCCGCAGAGGCCGTGGGGGCAGCGGTGCAGGCAGGGAGGGCGGTGAGCTGGAGGAGCTGGGGGTGGCCAACGCTGGAGAAGTTTGTAGGCGTAGCAGCCGTGAGGTGCAGCAAGGTGGGGGCTTGCTGCGGATGGGCCACCTCTACCACATGGTGCGTGGGCAGTTGGAGGAACTGGCCCAGAGATCCATCTACCTGAGTCTGTGGGGCGAGCGGGTCCCCCACCTGCTGCAGTGGAGCGAGCGTACTCGTCCCCTGGTTCTCCTGGCCGACATTGGGCTGGTAGGACTGGGTGAGGACCGGGACGGTCTCTGGGTTCTGCCTGAGCTCCGGGGCAGTCTCTTGGGTCGGGGAGGGCGCCCGGGCGGGCTCGGGGATCAGGCCGGGGCTGCATATCACTGAGCCCCCATTTGCTGCCAAGGCTTCAGCTATGAGCACCTCGGGGTGGCTCTTGGCCTTGTGTGCAACGACGGAGTCCTTTTTCTCAAACTTTTTGCTACAAATGGAGCAAGAGAACTGGTAGGAGGATTCTGCATCGTGCTTCTTCATGTGCCAGTTTAGGGAGGCCTTCTGGCGACAGGTGAAGCCGCATATCTCACACCTGCCACAGGGTGGAAACAAAGACCAGGTTACAGACCTGCTGCTCCTTGTTCACTACAATCCCCCCGGTCATTTTACTCAAGTCAAAGCAGCTAAATATACATTTGAGTTTAAAATGAATGACTTTTTATTTAGGGATGATTGATCTAAGTGAAAATGGTGTAAGACAGGATATATAGTGGGAGAAAGTCTTATTAACCCTGCGATATATGCTGACAGCTCATGGTCCTGTGTCCTTGGCGCTGGCTTACTGCCATGCACGGTGAGGCGTGCCATGTGACTTTAAATTCCACTCTAAAAGGAGTCATCACGATTGCTAAAACCAATGGAGGATCAGAGGGTAAATTAGTGAGGTATTTTGAGTCACATTGAGTCACATTATCAGGAAAGATCTAAGTAATGATGACGAGTACATACTGTATGCACTTGTTGTGCAGTAATAGCACTGCAAAAGTCTAAAAGATTCCGGATGAATCATCTAATGAAACAACACACTGACACAAAAAAAGCTGTTCTGATAACAATAACCGAAGTATTACTGAAATACATATATATTTTTTAATAATTCAGGATAACGGATTAAAGTCCCTTTTCATTCATTTTTCTTAAATATACCTCTATACTTATACCTATTATTTCATTTCTGATAAACTATAAACTGTATGTGGTGTATTGTTCATTCGGTGAACTGACTGAGATTAATTTAACTGAGCTCCACCTAGCGAGGATCTTTTTTCTTCTGAAGCCTTGTGTTTTTTTTAGGTCTTTTAGAAAAAGAACATTACAAAATAATTTCTTCATGCAAGCAACACAGACAATGTTTGTATTTAACATTACAATGAATTAATTAATAGACTATGTATTATATGGTTATTTTAAATGGTTAGCTTCCACATAAACGAAACTACAATGAATTAACTTGCTTTCTTTCTTGTAATAATGGCATCGTGACGTTACATCGGCCGTTTGCTACTCACTGGATTGGTTTTTCTCCCGTGTGAATCATCCTGTGCACAGCCAGGTTATGGGAGCTCTTGAAGGCACGAGCACAATACTCACAGATGTAGTCCCTTTGATCTGAAATACAGACGACAAGCAGTATGAATAAACCACATGAAAGGACAGAACATGTGGGGCTTTAATTTACCACCGTGGCACTTCAAGTAGCTCAGAAATGACATTGGTCTTTTCATTATCAAATAAACACTAGGTATGTTGCCAGTCTTGATGCTGTGTGAATAAACATTTGGGCCTTGACGTCACCTGTATGATGTTTTGCATGGCGCAGCAGTTGCTTCTGCAGACGAAACAATCGGCCACACGAGGGGTGATCACACACATACTTCTTTTTAAGCAAGTGCTGGTATTTGATATGGTGCTGAAATAAAGAGACCAGAGAAAAAGAAGAAATGTTACAGCCAAATCACTGTCCTTCCTTCCACAATCACCAAACTGTGAACCTTACGATACGTTTACAGATCTGAAACAGTATATTGGACACCAATGTGACTTCTTTGGCAAATAATATAATAATAAATAATAATATTCCATATAAGTTTCCAGTCCCAAATTTTACACATCGCCTTTGAAAATAGTTTAAAGGATGCCAAACCTGTAGGTAACGTGGGTGGGCCAAGACAGTACCACAGCCCTCAATTTCACAGCGCACATACTGCACTGGGGGCTTTTTCCTATGGAGACATAAAAAAAGGGAAATTGTACACTAATCATATTTGATAAAAATACTACGGTGATAAACACACAGTAATAGACGGTTACCTTTGTTTTGGCAGCCGAGGGAGTTTGCCATCTTTTTGTTGTCTACCTCTCCTAGAGCAAAAGACAAAAAATATTACAAAACAACAAACTAAATGTCAACCAATACTTTAATCCTTCTACCGAAACTTCCAATAGGATAATATCTTTATTGTTAAATTCCTTCGTAATGCAACATTTAGTAAGCAAGCAGTCCATCAGACATTGGTGAGGGTGTCTAGCTTCAGGTAACAATGACAATTGAAATAAATGTATTGTTGGGGTGTTCAACCATGAGTTATTCTGTACATTTACTATTTACCAACCCCTATTGTGCTTACTTCCTGGGTGGCTCTGGGTTATCACCCACTCCATCTCCACATTGCACAACAATCTCTGTTGATTCTTCCTTTTTAATGTCATCTTCTTCCTCCTCCTCCTCCTCCTTTTCCGACTCCTCTTTCTTGACTTCCTTTTGATTTAATATTGTATTCCGTCTGGTTCTTTCCCTGAGGAGTTAACAGACAGAACTTAATTCAATCTGAAAAACAATGCAATACTCATCATGGAAAGGCAGAGAGCTCAGCATACGTCTTGGTCTCAGGTTTATAGATGCAGTCATTTGGGTCATCTCTGAATGGGGGGTCCTCGTCAAGAGCTGCATCTGGACCTGCGAGGCTAATATGGACAAACACACCACACTGGCCTCGATTAAAATCACATTGGCAAATCAAACTTGAAACATGTGCTCATTAAATGACAAGTATACCACTCACCTGTCATTGATTCCTTTCAAACAACGGGTTTCCTCTACTGAAAAGCAGAGATAATGGATATGTTCTTTTAGCTTCAGATAGTTGCAGTTGCCCAAAGTTTTCTTTTCCTGACGCGTGCATGTCCGCAGTAACAACAATGCAAGTAGCCTTTGTCTTACCGGCGGCCATCTCTTCTTCAGGTTTGCAAGCGGTTGCTGGCGTGGTACGAGAGGCCTGGATTGAAGGTCTTCCTTTGTTTTCGCTAGCTTTAGGCAGCTTGGAACCAGGAGTGTGTTTGGATGCTGAGGAAGTCAAGAGTGCCCAAGCATTGGGGACAAATGTAATGCATAACAACAACAAAATTCCAACAAATAGATAAAAAAGGACTGATGTGTCTTTCGTACCATTTTTGGACGTGGATTTCTTTCCCGCAGGTCTGTGTGAGAGAAAGTCTACAGTAAATAAAAACTATTTTATATATATATATATATATATATATATATATATATATATATATACACACATATATATATATATATATATATATATATATACACACACACAGCGTGTTAAATGGATCATTTGAAAATGATAACAAGTGCCAAAACGTGCATTTAACTAACATGTTTTGGTGTCAACCTCTGGTAAACCTATAGCTTTAAGAACCCCCATAGCACACTTCCTACAACCACAGCCTCCTTGCAGTGCAATCCCACCTCCAACTTGCCTCTGAGGGAGACATACATTACGTTAGATAGTGTGTTCCCATAGAACTAGCGTGCTGCAAAGTATTTGACATGCTTGCAACCACTTACGGTGTGATTTTTGAGCGAGGTCTCCCACGCCCACGGTGCACACTCTTAACGTAAGGCGTTGGCGTGCAAGCGGCATTCTTGGAATTACCACCGGCACTTTTGCCAGCTCCAACTGCCCTTGCTCGCAAAACTCGAAATGTCGCCGCAGAGCCGCTGGAGTCCGGCGAGGCCGCTGGGGTTTTCGCCAGCCTTTTACTTCCTCTTCTCCCGCTTGACGGTTCAGTCGGGTCCGGGGATGGTTTTGCGGCCTCCGTTGAGTCTCCGGTTGTCTCAGTCCCGGGACGAATACCAGAAACGTCGTCTTCCACGCTGCTCATATTTAACGGTTATGACCCTTAGGGACTTTTGTAATTGGCGTCAGTTGACGTGACGTTATTTTTGAGGATAGAACATGTAATTAGCGTTATTACCAACGTAACATTGAAGGCCCTTTTGGGACCAAGTTATGTTAGCTCGGTCGTAGAGTAACGGCAACGTTAAGTCACTACGCAAGCATTTCAATAACTCGCATATAAATAAAACAAAATTAACGTTATATGACGATTTAATTTTACCAACATTCAACATGATCTACTTCTTAAAGCGATAGCAAACCTCATATTTCTTAACCCAAGTATCGGCCCGTTTGGGATGCGTCTCCTTTAAGAGTAGCAGTAGCGGTAGCGCGGATGTGCAAACACTATATTTGGACCCAAGGGCTTCCATACCAACGGGGGGAAAAGGTGATTATGGGATATGTAGTTAAACTTTACAACTCAACGATTTCTACATTTAGGCATTGATTTAGGTTTTATGTTTATTCACTTATCATGTCCATCGGTCCTTAATGGCACACATTAAAATAGTTTGATAATACCATTAATTTCTTGTATAACCTGCAGTCTGATTGCCCTTTTACATCGGACAGTATACAACAATGATATCAATACAATTTATTGGGGGGTGAATGATAGAGAGTCTATTCGAAGTGGTTCCGTCACAACAGGTATGTAAAGTGACATATCAACTACCCAGTAGATGTTAAAGTAATGTCTACTAATGATTGGAAACAATGTAGCGTTGAAAAAATCAATTGGGTGTGGAACCATCCAATTAAAAATACAACTGTTAACAACTGGTAACAATGTTTTGGTGTCAAAAAAGATGTTATATTTGAATAAAAACGGGAAAATAACATTAATAGAATTGTTTTATTTTACATTTTACAATATCATATACTGTGATAGTAACCCCCGGTCTTCTCCGTCACTGCTGCGCCAAAAGATCAGACTGTTGACCATCGATACAAAAGGCATCTCCGTCCGCTGGTGGGCGGAAGCGAGGAGTGCATAATTGTAAATGCGAAAAAAAAACACTTGGGAAATATGTCAAGAAGGACGAGAGTACATATTTAGGAGAGAATCCGGTCAATTTTCTTTAATAATTTTTCATATAATTCTTTCAATAATGTTTCATAAAAAAAAAGTCTAATGACAAAAAATAAAAGTTATATATTCTTTCTGTATTGCGCCCCGATACCAAATGGCCCACGGTCCGGTACTGGTCCACTTTATATGTAATTTTCTCGTCAGGTCGCAGGCTAAATTCATAAATTTGAAATAAATGTTATTTATTTCTGATTTTTATAATTTCTATTTATTAAAACTAGACGGAAACATTTTATTTTTTTCACCACTGATAAAAGGACTGGCAGGCAGGCTTCTCTAGTGCCAGTCACTCACAGTCACTCATTTCGCTCTGTTCTCACGCACTTCCGCCACACATCCAATTTCTCACGCAAAAAAAAAACAGAGCTTCCACTTTTGTTACTCCCCCCCCCCCCCCCAACGGGGGGTTGGGCGTAGCATCCACCCCGTTGACCTTATTGTCCAGGGCAAGTTTAGAGCCCTAGGCAGGTGTGATCATAACAGGTAGAACTGGTTTCTTGTTACCCTTAGGTTCAGTGTGGCGCAAATAGTTGCATGTTAAGAAGCCTGTGGTGTGGAAAGGTCGGTGCAATTTCTGAATTTTTTACAACTGTAAACATTAGATTCTCTTTCATCTGATTTTAATTTCAAGTTGGTTCACGATTACAGTGTAAATTTAAAGATTTATTTGAAGATGTTTTGTGTAGAACTACTGAAAACACCTGTTTTGTCTGCGTGTGAGTGAGAGTCAGAAAGAAATAAAGAACGGACAGGTGGGGGCTGTGCCAAAGGTCCCAGACAGATTCTATCCTCCAATGGCCCTCTGTGAGAATATTTAGGTAGAATAGGTAGAATCTTGTCTGACTGTTTTTCAATAGCAGTTACATTAAATGTGTTTCCATTCACCTATTTTATTTACATAATACCAACAGAAGACTGCAGGAAAGAGTACTAAAGCCTTAAAAAGAATAACCTGCGTTTTACACCTCTAGTTCTCTTTTCCCTTTTGTTTTGTTTGTTTAAACCTCTTTTGAATCTTTCTTTTGGTTAGATGCCTGAAAGAAGGCTTGTTGTTAACATGCTGAAGATATTTAATAGCATCTGTTCTGTAATATTAAAAAAGTCAGTAAATACCTCATTCATGAATTTTTTACCTGTATACCCGTATAAAGGGGCCAAATAAGACTCCAAAGACATCACACCAACTAGTCTGCCTTTACAGCCCTGTTGAGGAAACTCAAGTTTACGAGACTATAGTTCAAAAGTTTAGTGTGTCATCTTTTTACTTTTTTTACCTAACTTTACCTACCTAACTTTACTTTTTAGATGGTATCCCGCTCCAAAAATATTAGTGCAGTTAATTTGTGAAAAAAACATATCCAATGCTTGATGCAGGACACTAGCTTCTAGGGTTGGCCAACACAAACACGTCATCCTGAAAACACTCTCTTAATAGAACATGTTATTCATGGCTTTGCATTTTCCTGCATGTCATGAATTGTTTTCCACCCACTGACAGTGGGAGATGCTTTACTCATGTATTTTTTTTCTACACGTCTATTTCAACCTTGTTGTTGATTCAACTAAATAAAGGGTCATAAAACTTGCGTCAGAAGGATGACATCTGGGTTTCAGGAATAAATATTAAATTGTAGAATTCTGAAGGATGATGGGTGGATTTACACTAGTCAAGCAACATTTATTTATCCCTATAGTAGAACTCGCTTTACCAAAATGGCCTTCGCAATCAGCACAATCTACAATTGACAAGCTCTGCGGAATTATAGTTTATTTGGAGTTGAAAGCAAACATAACTAAAGCAATACGGTTGATTCATTCTCACCGCACATATGTAACCCAGTTTAAGACGAGTGGGGTAGAACAGGAAGAACTTGCTGAGATCTTTTCATGCGTCACAGAAAGAAAAGCTTTTCTCAAATTCACAACAGCTGTGGTTTCTTTGAAGCTGGACCATCTAAAAGGGAAGGAAGCTATTGTTAGTGCTGTAAAAAGTGGACTCCAACAACCCATAACTTGACATAACATAACGCGAGAATGTGACTGAACTCAAGTTGCAATGAGGGTAGTAGTTAACCAGGTCTGTGCAATCAAAAATATGTATTTCCAAAGACTTTTTTTTTCTCACTGAGAGACAATGTTATAGGAGCTAAATTACTTATATTGACATCTCTGGCTATAGCATCTCAAAATGTCTTTGGAGAACCACCATTTTAATTTTAATTTAAAGAATTCTTCTTATTTAATATCCTGTTTTAAACATTCCAACGAGTCCTTTTGCCCTGCGGGCCACATACCTTGTGTTTTCTTTTCAGATATGCATGCTGCTCCTGAATAACCTTCCCCTGCAAGCATGAACCACGGATTCATAATATTAGTGGCAGGTGACAAACTCCAGTCTATGTATAGCAACACTGGCACTGTCATGAAACTATTAATGGCTTATGTTGTCACATTAATCTATCAAGCTTTGAATCCACCTCTCATTTATTTTACTTATCTTTTTTTACTTTTTATGTAAGAGCTAATGTGAACATTGAGAGATCAAACCACATTTTTTACACTTTGTGCAAGATGAATTGATATGAACCCTTCTGCCTCCTCTCACGCAGCTCTATGCCTGCGTCACGCACGGGCCATGACCTCTACTGAGGTTCCTACAATTAACTTAACAAATGCTTGGACCACCACAGTACTAGAGGTCGGTGAACTTTCAAACCCTCAGCCATTCATGGAGACAACAAAAGAATGGGACAAACAAACAACTCCACAACTGAGTGCCACATCAACAGGGATTAAGGGAAGCTTAAGTGAAAATATAGACGCCGGCGATGAGACAAATATTGCTTCTTCTGTCCTCATGGAACCATCGTCTCTTGCTCCCACATTAAGATCACGCGCTTAGTAAATTTATGCATGAGCACAACACAAAGAACAACAGTATTTTCTTCATCGCCACACAGACCATCACAAACTACAGTTGTATCCAGACAAACAGCCTCTTCAGCTAGGGCTCCACTAACTGCAACAACCACACCACTTATGACAGAAACATTCACATCGAAAACTGTGTCCACATCAGTACAAACACAATCTATTCCTCCCACAATGGAATCATCCACAACAACAACAACAACGACACATAGTACAGGATCTATTGCATCATCAACTCAAAAACCAACACAAATTACAGATGTATCCAGACAAACAGCATCTTCAGCTATGGCTCCACCATCTGCAACAACCACATCAGATACTTCACAAACATCAAAATCAGTCACAACAGAACCAACAACAGCTGCAACACAACCTGCTGAATCAACAGCACTTTCCAGCACTTTGACACATAGTGGATCAGTGACTACAAGAACACAAACTACACAACCTATGACAACAGCATTCACAACACAAACTAGGTCAACAATCGTACCAACAGAATCTATAACGCCCACAATAGAATCATCAACAACTCCAACACAAAGTACAGCCATTTCTGTTTCATCACCACAAAAAACAACACAAACCCCAGTAGAAACAGTACAAACAACATCTTTAGAAAAAGGTGCACCATCAGTAGCAACTAAATCAGTGACTTCACACACATCTGGATCATTAACAACAGAGCAACCCACAGCTGCGCAACAAACTAACCAATCGATGGAAATTCACAGCACATCTGGTCCTAGTGGATCATTACCTACATCCACAGGAACTACACCACTTATCATGGAAACATTCACATCGAAAACTGTGTCCACATCAGTACAAACACAATCTATTCCTCCCACAATGGAATCATCCAGCAACAACAGCTACACAAAATACACCACCACAGGTTATGGTTGCAACCACACAATCAGCAACTTCAACAGGAGCTGCACCATCTGCGACAACCAAATTGGGGACTTCACAAACATCAACAACAGCAGCATTAACAACAGCGCAACCCACGGTTGCAGGACAAACTGCAGAGTCAACGGCAAACAAAACACCCAATTCCCTGGATGCATCAACTCTAAATCCCATTGAAGCCAACATAACACAACAGCAAGTTGATCCTAACTCTGTTCCTTTTTCTCGAGGAAATATAGTTTTTTTCAACCATACCCCCGAAATTGCTGCTGTCAGGCCGCTTGACTTTGGTTACCCATCTGTCATCTGGACCACATTCCAAGTTACAAGCCAGTCAGACCAGAACGACACAAATCAGGTACCTATACTTTTAGGCAGTAGTTTCAAATCTTGGGAAACTCTCTTTTTTGAGAGAGGGAGTGTTAAATGAGTAGACTAACCTCCCCCTCATATTTTGAATGCTTCAGCCTGTACGCGATAAATTTAACATAAAGGAAGGCTATGTCCAATTGAAGCAAAATTTGTCAACTTAATTGTTATATCTTGTTTGTTCTTGAAGGATAAAGTGCCTTTCCGTCACTTTGTGTGGTAAGTGATTGGTAGTAATTAGTACTGGGAGGCATATGTCGCCTCATATTTAAGCATACTTTCCCAACATTTTGAACTGTTATTTTACGCCATTATATTCATTAACAAATTTATAAATCTCTTGGAATGTCTAAACAACGTGCTTTGTGTTGATGCCTCGTTTGTGTTTTGTCAGATCCTCTCCACAGTAAATTATCTTTTTCTTTCAACTCCACAGATTCCTACATTTCCCCCCACAAGTGTGAACAATGGTTAATGGACTTGCCGTTTAAAAGATCCAACCACTCAAAGAACTTTACAGTACATGTCTACATTGACCCTTTCAGGCTCACGTTCATGTCATGCAAAGTCAAAGGCCATCACGATCTAATCTAGATAACATTGATATTGTACACCCTGATGGCAAGTTGGCAGCATTTTGGCATTCAGTCTCCTTCCCAAGGGCCGGAGGAGCTGGGAATTGAATCGGCGATGATCAAATTAGAAGAAACTGATGGCTGGAAATCCTGAGTTTAAGTCCAGACAAACCCTCACTTATGTCATACTTCAGAAGAATGTTCGCCAACACCGATGGATTTCCCGAGAAAAATGAGCACATCCCAAAAACAATCATAATAAATCAAATGGACGTGAACACATGTTTCAACTTGCTAGCTTACATCGTAGACTAAGCAGATATCATGTATATAACGTCACTGATACACGTCTACACAGCTTCTCACGCTGAATGTGAGTCGTCTTTGTTCAGCTAGTTATAGCTCATATTGGTGGTGGTTTGGTCAGTTAGACCCTCACTGGTCTCTTCTGTCTGTGCGTCCTAAAAGTTACACAAATTAATATTCTAAATACATGCTCATAGCAAAGTGTACACATTTTCAAAGTTTTTTTCCGTGGTATTTAATTGTTGTTGTGTTTGTTTCTGGGTTTTATTGCCACCTAATTTTTGAGGTCAATTAACACTTTCAACTTATTTCTGTTGTGACATTGATACCTTTGTAACAAATAAATTAGATGTCAGTAGAATTTTCTCTCCTGTCGAGTTTTGTTCATTGTTCATTTATATTGGCCCTTGGTGCACAGATTATTCTGTCAATACAGAAAGTAAAATTGTGTACCAAAACTACACTTACATTCATCAACAGGGGGAGCCATCAGACAAACAGCGTCTTTACATGCTCTCAGTCACTCACAAATCTTCTTATTTGATTCACACTTGAGTCAAAGTATAATAAGTGCATTTTATGGAGACATTTTGTTTTGAGATAGACCGTGGACATTACAATACATCAGTGTCTTCAGCTTTCAAGCAAACGTTGACACTCTTTAACGCAGAAGAAAGCAAAAAAGCATTGAATGGAATGTCACATAATAAATCACTAAATGGACCAAATAGAATTGCGGTTTGATTCTATAAACATTTCTGGGACATTTTATCATCACTATTTATATCGGTATTATGATTAACAAATCCTATAAAGACCGTGCCATACCGAGACATCCAGCCCTGTTCTCATTCACCCTGACCAGACTGGCTTGATAAACAACAGACATGCTTCAAACAACATTTGTAAGTTCTTCAACTTAATCAACATATCACAAGGAGTATAAAACAGCGTTGTTGTTGTTTGATGCCAAAATCGTTTCAAGAAAACTGGACCTTTCCACTTACCACCAAGCAGGAGTTTGTACAGTCGTTCAACCACTAAGAACACCATATACTTTGCGACGGGCAAAAATAATAGATCTTGTTTATGCATAGTGTAATTACTGTGTCATTTAATATTTATAGAACCACTGTACCTTTCTTCTCTTCACAAGGAAGACAAACCCTTTACAAACCCTTTTCTAATCTAATATTGATGTTGAGGTTTAACCTGCTCCCCTGGCAGAGGATAGTTAAAGAACTTTCATGACAAACAAACCACTGCCTGTGAATAAATGCTGTGAGTTAGAAAATATGTCGCTTTACTCACTTGTAAAACCTTGTTCAGTGAAGAGCCGCATAATTGGGTATATGCAGGACTTGAAAAACCTTAACGGGCTGTGAATTCATTTCTTAAAAAAACAAGAAGTCATCAATAAGTCGGTCAGTCATTGAATTATCTATTGTCACATTTATGCCAATAACTCCAGATATTATATCAAATATTAGTTCAATATGTTAATATTGCTAATATGCTAATCTTGTTTGTCATAACTGACTGTACGGGTAGAATTTATTTCAACACTTGCGCAGCTGGCATGCACATGGAACCTGTTTGACAGGATGAATGAAGGGAGTATGCCATGACACAGTTCCAAGAAATTGAGTAAGCTGAAACCTTTTCATACTGAGGACACAAAGGTCACAAAACCTCCTGAGAAGTTAACGCTTACTTATTACATAGTATTAATTGTACATTGTGTGCGGTATTAAATAAACTGACATTGAACATAATTAAGATTATTGTTAAGGTTTATGGACACCACATCACTGTAATTATCACAGTTTCCATTCATTACATTACATGTCATTTAGCTGACGCTTGTATCCAAAGCAACTTACAATAAGTGCATTCAACCATAGGGATACAAACTCAGAAGAGCAATTCATTATGCTTGCTTAATTATTTTTTATTAATTCTTTCCAATCCATTACCATTTAACAATAAATCTATAACCAATTCATTAGTTGTTTCATAACTCCCTGGTGAAACTTCCTTAGACATTGAGACAGTCACATGACAGAGTTTCAAACGACAATAAGGGAGTATGCCATTACACTCAGCCAAGAAACTGACAGATTGAATGATGATCGCGTGCGTCTTATTATTTCGGCACCTTGTAAAGGTGTCATAACAATTCTGAAAAAAGTTGAACCTATGACACATGTCATTAGGATTTAAGGAGTTGAATGGAATGGAACTGTAACAATACAACTGTATAACCAAAGATTTCTGTTTGACGCACACCTGTTTAAAAAGGGATTTGATCCTCTGCTCAGACATTTTAGTTCCACAGATTATTTAGAGGTCTCCTCACTCTGTGAAGTATTTTTCTGGTTAAATATAATATATAATATGTATAGTTCATCACCTTTAGCCTGTATAAGCTCTTAAGGAAAATAGCGCGAAGACAGAATGGTAAAAAAACTACTTGAGTGAGATGTTACAAAATGGACCACATTCTGAAAACTTGACTGTTTCTTTGCTGTAGGGAAGGGAAATGAAGTCAGATAAATGACAGCCACTCTTGCCACAATTGCTGGTAATTTTCCAAATATTGTGCAGGATCATTTGAAAAGTGGAAAAAGCTGAAAAGCGTCATATTAATCGAATATTATTCAGTTCAGTTATGATTGCTGTATTTTGTCAGAAGGTCACAATAATAAAGGTCTTTTACAGTATCTTGTAACATGAAGGAGTTGTATTTAATTTAACGTTTTTACATTTGTATCACAGTAGTTTAGTTTAAAATAAAATCTATATGGATCAAGATAGAGTTTATCATGAGGGGACAAATACTATATTATAATTGTCCTTGGCATGAACCCTTTGCCACATATATACACACATATACATACGTATACTGTACAAACATAAGACTGTTGAATACACAACAATAGAAACTAAAAGCTGCTGTGCCATCACCCGTCGCTTCTACAACTGCAGCACCTACGACAACTGGTACCTATGACTGCCAAACCTACAATTGCAAAAATGCAAAATTGTGAAAAATACATTTCGGTCCAAGGTCGATCCAATAACTGCCACATTTTATGGTTATCATTACTGACGATTGATTCAAGGTTATCAAATTTTATTATTACATTTAGGTGAAATTCATGAATACATTTCACATGAGTGTGAATTTATACATTAGTACACGTAACTTTAACAACAGTTAGTCGGCCATTATAACTTATGTCCACATTGCATCCTTTAACAGATTGTGAAATCTGCATTCATTCAAGTTCTTTTAAAACACTGTGGTCGTGCCAATGCATCCCTCACCATGAAAATGGAAGCCTGTTGTTTAGTGGCTTGCAATGCTCAAAAACTTTGCACATGTGTCCTAAGTGACCGAAATTCACATTTCATGTTGGGTTTTACCTTGTCTGTTATAAATTGCCTTCCCAAATATATTTAATACAGCAGCCCCAGCAATACGTTTAGATATATTTTTATTTTAACATGTCAAAAAGCCAGATTTAACTTACCAATTGCAGCTTTGTTCCCTGGAAAAACCTTTACGCCAAACCAAAAGGGCACACCCTGTTTGACCTTTCATCTCACTAGATACAGATGTCTAATAATAGAAAGAATTCATGTTAAGCCAGTTCTGGATTCCCTTTACTTTTAAGACTGCAGGTTGCAGCCTGGTAATAAATCACCTTTTAAGAGACTGACAGCTGATATTCTGTATCCTGACACTGGGTGTGGTTCATTTTTGGGTTTGTTTTCAAAATATAGAATTTCTAATCATGTCATAAGCCTTCAATCCAATAATGGAGGCGTTTATTGAAAAGTCACGTAAGGTTTGTAATACTACAGATGTGACCTGGAGGCGCAAGCTCAATCATTTTTTCTGGAGTTTTATTAACTCATTAAAAATAGTGATTTAAGACTGGAACATATAAATATTGCCAATATGAATAAATAATTTCTTATTTTACATTACATTACATGTCATTTAGCTGACGCTTTTATCCAAAGCGACGTACAATAAGTGCATTCAACCATAGGGTACAAACTCAGGAGAACAAGAAACAAGAAAGTGCAATTTCCTCATATAAGCCAATTTACAATTTGCTATAGATGAGTGACGTTACAAGTACAATTAAGTGCTACAATTTGTTAGTCTTTAGTCGAGGTAGAGTCTGAAGAGGTGTGTCTTTAGTTTGCGGCGGAAGATGTGAAGGCTCTCTGCGGTCCTGATGTCTTCAGAGAGCTCGTTCCACCATTTCGGCGCAAGGACAGCGAAGAGTCGAGACCTAGTCGAGTGTTTTGCTCTCAGTGAGGGAGGGACGAGTAGTTTTGCAGATGCAGAGCGGAGAGTGCGGGTTGGGATGTAGGGTTTGACCATGTCCTGGATGTAAGCTGGACCCGATCCATTCACAGCATGGTACGTGAGCACCAATGTTTTGAACTGGATGCGGGCGGCCACTGGTAGCCAGTGAAGAGAGCGGAGGAGTGGAGTAGTGTGGGAGAATTTCGAATTATTTGCTGATATAAATATTCATACTTTTAGCTTTATTCACATTTTTATAATTTCCATAATAATATACTATATTTTTTCATTATAATTTCATGTGTTTTTATTCTTCTGTTTATTCTTGCTCCATTATGTCTTTTTTCCGTGGTCAAACTGGTGGAACTTTTTTCAACATTATGTATCTGGAATGCACAGCCAAAGGACAAAAGAACAGGACAAAAGAAAGGAGTGGGTTGTAATTTTGATACAAAGGACTAAAAGTTTGTCACCTACCATTCAGAATTGCTTTCTCTTCATCGCAAGACATAATCAATGAATTACATCATCAACCTCTTTTCCGTTTCCATATAAAAGCCTTCACAGAGGTTGAGAGTCACAGGAGGAGAAAGGTTTGCAATGTCACAGATGTTAACTGGACAGAATTATACACTGAAATATTTTTAAATATAGAAAGGAAGAAGAGAGGGGGACTTTTGCATCTTATATCTAATTTTGGGTGACTACATTCAACGATCCATACGTAATACTATGATAAGATTCGTCCATATACACTAAAAGGGGGGATTTGTTGCAGAAGGGGATTGTGTATTCCGATGGACTACATATCCTTTTTTTGTGACGCTTCAGTCAACTCTAATAGACCTGCAGGAAAGACTGTTCTAGTGCAACCTACAGTCTGTCACACTCACCTGCCAGCTCGATCTTCCACACCTGCCCCGCATCCACAATCAGTCACTCTCCTGCCTTCCACACCTGCTTCGCATTCACGATCAGCCCC